AGAGGCTACTAATATCAACAGATGGTGGAGCTAGACGTATCATCCTAGGTTAGGATTTTGTCTTATTTATCTTTGAGACCCTGGCAACTGGCACTTGAATAAGAAGATACCATTTGAACTCAGTTTGTATGGCTCCAAACCTTCTCACTACACGTCTCTGCTATGCCCGTTGTTATGCTGGTGACCAAATATGACCATGCTCTCAGAGGTTGAGCAACTGGTCATCAGGTGTCCCTGTTCAAGTTGCAAGTTGGCCTTGCTTCACTGTGTGCATATGTGGCTATGTCACTCTTGCTAACCACCTGAGCCCTGGCTGCCAAAGGGGAAAAGGAGGTGATAAATTAGGCATTTGGGATTAACATATATATAGTACATAAGGGCTTCCCTGGTAGCTCAGCTAGTAAAGAATCTGCCTGCAATGCAGGAGAGCCTGGTTTGATTCCTGGGTCAGAAAGATCCCCTGGAGCAGGGATAACCTACCCACTCCAGTATTCTTAGGTTTCCTTGATGGCTCAGACTGTAAAGAATCCTCCTGCAATCGATCCCTATGTTGGGAAGATCCCCTGGAGGAGGGCATGGCAACCCACTCCAATATTCTTACCTGTAAAATTCCATGGACAGAGGAGGCTGGTGGGCTACAGTCCACGGGGTTGCAAAGAGTCAGACACGACTGAGTGACTAAACATAGCACAGTACTATATATAAAAAAGATAACCAACAAGGACCTACTGTATAGCATAAGGAACTATACTCAATATTTTGTAACAATCTAAAAGGCAAAAGAATCTGAGAAAGAATACATATAAATACAAGAATATATATTATATATAGCAGAATATATATAATATATATCTGAATCACTTTTATGTACACCTGAAACTAACACAATATTGTAAATCAACTATACTTCAATTAAAAAATTAAAAACAAACAAAAAAAACCCCCTAAAGCCCATAATCTGTCTGGCCTGGGTTCACTTGAGTGTTATATAACACAAAATATACAAAGAAATAGAGAACAGAGTTGACTGGTCCACACAATGAGTACAATTCTTAGACACAAAAGGGTTCTGAACAAAAGGGCCCTTCTGACTTCCAGTCCTTTCAGTGGGACAGTGCAGCTCACATCAGAAGCTGTCTTACCACCTCTTTGGAAAATTAACCAAATCTCATAGCTGTCTTCTTAGACCATTTCACTTGACTACCCCCTGCACCCCATCCCCTGGGATGGAGGATGGATAGTTGGAATACTGGAGATGAAAAACAAAAGCGTTTCCTTCAACTGTGAGGGAGTCCTGAGGTGCCTAGGCTAGGAAGATGATCGGTGACCCTTCTCTGGTCCCTAGGATCTTGATCCGGGTGAAGCAGGATCCAGGCCCTGGGTTGGCAGAGACCTTGTCGTTGTTTGGATTTGGCCTGAGTGGGGACACTGGAAATTGATGCCAAGGACGCTGACACTTGCCAGACACTCTGTGATGTTCACTAACGGGTCTGATCACTTGAGCTTAGGGAGCTCCCTTTTCTCCTGAGGGCTTGTGAGGCCATATTCTCTGCTCTACATACAGATCTACATCCTGAAACCCTAGTCTCCTGGACTTGAAACCCCGGGGGAAGCGAGGAGAAAGAGACGGATCTGAGACACGAGTGATAAAAAGGAGGAAGGCTGTTTGAGGTGAGAATACAGCTCATTCCTCTGAGGCATGTTTTCTCCTAATCAGGAAATGAAAACCGAGGCAATTATGTATTAGAGAGGATAACTCTCTTTCCATTCCCTATTTTTTCCAGGTGTGCTTATACTTGAATTACTCAGATAATTTCCTGAATGTTATTACTAGGTCCATTTCCTCTGTCTATCCGGAGCTAAGTTAGTCTCACTGTGGAATCTATGAAGTTCTGGGCCTGGGCTCTGTCGGTGATGCTGCAGGACTGGTCAGGAATCCAGGTCTCTACCTCAGCTTTTTTTCTGAGCCAGGAGCTACACTCCAGCACCCACCCCTCATCACACCCTCCTCTGAAAGCGAAATTCCAGTTCTACATGAGCAACTAACCCGTAGCATCCAGAAACAGATCGGTCATCAGTGGTCTTTGACGATTGCATTTTTTTCCCTCTTCATTACAAAAAAAATTATCTATTTTAATTGAAGGATAATTGCTTTACAGTGTTGTGTTGGATTCTGCCTTAAGTCAACATGAATCAGCCATAAGTATACATATCCCCTCCCCTTGAACCTCCTTTCCACCTCCCACCCCATCCCACCCCTCTAGGCTGTCACAGACCCAGTTTGAGTCCCCGAGTCATAGAGTAAATTCACACTGCCTATCTATTTTACATAAAGTAGTGTATATGTTTCCATGCTACTCTCTCCATTTCCCTCCCCACCCATAAGTCTATTCTCTATGCCTGAGGATGACTACACTTTTAATTCGAGGTTAACCTAGCAGCTTCCCTGGTGGCTCAGACGGTAAAGCATCTGCTTGCAATGTGGGAGACCTGGGTTCAATCCCTGGGTCGGGAAGATCCCCTGAAGAAGGAAATGGCAACCCAATCCAGTACTCTTGCCTGGAGAATCTCATGGACACGGGAGCCTGGTGTGCTGCAGTCCATAGAGTCGGACTGAGCGACTTCACTCACTTTAACCTAGCATTGCTGTCACAGCTGCTTTAACCCCTCAAAGCTGGCAGGCCGGCCTGGAGTTTAAAGAGAAGGCTATTACAGCCAGGCTCCTAAGTCTCCATAAGAGAGAAGTCAGAGGATCACAGAATCCTAGAGCCGGAACAGACCTTGGAGAGTGAGCAATCTGCTCTTCTCTTTCCAGAAAGAGGCCAAGGTGCAGAACAGGCGAATGGCTTGTCCTGGGTCATACAGCTCAGCCAAGTGATAAACCTGGCCTTAGGGCTAGCCCTCAGGTCAGGAATATGGTGCTCTTCCCCTCTCACCTTGCTCTTCTCTTGAAAAAGAAGATGTCTTTAAGACAAAGGTCTTTCCCTGGAGAGTGTGGGAGGGCCTCCACTTCACCCTGGCTCTGAAGCATCTCTCCCTCCTCTCCTAACTCAGTAGCTGTGACAAGAGTGCGAACCTTGATGACCTCTCTGTTGCACATCAACTTGGGTGTAAAAGGACTTTATTAGTCTCACTGGACTCATGTCTCACAAGGACTGATGCTGAAGCTGAAGCTCCAATACTCTGACCACCTGATGTGAAGAGCTGACTCATTGGAAAAGGCCCTGATGCTGGGAAAGATTGAGGGCAGGAGAAGAAGGGGACGCCAGAGGATGAGATGGTTGGATGGCATCACCACCTCAATGGACATGGAGTTTGAGTAGACTCCTGGAGTTGGTGATGGACAGGGAGGCCTGGCGTGCTGCAGTCCATGGGGTCACAGAGAGTCGGACACGACTGAGCGACTGAACAACAATAATGTCAGAGGGTCTCTGGCTGTGTCACCTAGTGAGTTTTGGGGAACTTGTAATATATATATATATATGAGCATTGTTCCATCACGTGAACAGCCCTGCCTGAACCACCCATCACTGCCTGCTAGCGGCAGGTGTGTCCGGTGTTCCTCAGGGAATGTCTCACCACAAGCCCTCGTCTCCCTTGGGGTCACTTCTTGGGTGGCTTTACTCTCAGGGTCACTCCTTGGGTGACCTGACTTCTCCTCTGCTTCCCACAGTGGCAACCCCCGCAGTACCACGACCCTTGGGGAAAGTCGGGCCCTAAGTCCCAGGGACCTACGCTTCCGCCCCCGCGGGGGTCCCAGGACACAACCGCGATCGCCTTTCGCGCGGCCGCCCAGGGCCCCCCTCCTCCTCTTCGCTCCCGCCCAGGAACCTGGGGAGCCAATCAGAGCGCGCCGGAGCCCCGGGCTGTGAGAGTCCCGCGCTCGGGCCCCGCCCCTCTTTGTTGCGGCGGCCAATGGACGCAGTCAGAACATCGGCGGCTGCCCGGGTGACTCGGTTATCTGTCACAGAATAACATTCGAGAATGGGACATGGAATGAGACGACGGCCGCAGCACCCCCAAGCCCAGGCCCAGAAGCAGCCCCCGCCTTCCCCGCCGCCCGGAGAGGCTCCGCAGCCATGAGGCCGACTGTCCGGAGGTAAGGTTCCGGAGCTGCGGGCGCCCTTTCCCGCGCCCCGCCTGCAGCCAGTCCACACCCCGCCCCCCCGCCCGGGGTGCCCGGCGCTGGAACTCGGCGAAGGAGGCGGGTGGAGCCACTGCCCCTGGAGCCGGGGGCCGGGGGCCGCCCCTCGCGCGCCTGGCTTCGGGAGGCTTCCTGGAAGAAACGCGGCGGTCTTTGCAAGCCGAGACTACCGCTTGCGCCCTCGCGGCAGCCCCGGGCGCTCACGTGCCGGCACGTTCTGGCTCGGCTCTCGGCCACATCTGGCGACCCAGGAACGTGCGGAGCCTTGCGGGGACCCCCGGTTCCTTCCCGCGGCGTGTCTTTATTCTTCTCCCTTCCCCGTCCACTCCGCAGCCTCCACGCTCCTTGTATTTCCCTCCCGTGGTTTAGGTGGGTGTGAAGCTTTGTGGCAATATCCAAGTCGCCTTGCTAGGTAATTGCAGGGCTGGAAGCTGGTGTGCAATTCCCTGGTTGGGGGTGGGCTCTTTCCGCGCGCAGTGCGGAGCGGACAGTGAAGTGGGGACCCAGCAAAGCCCCACTGCCTTGGCCACGGCCCCCTCCGTGGTCCCTCTGGATATCCACTTACCCGTGGTGCATGCTGTCTCCCTGATTTCAGGCACGGCCCGTAAGCAGAGCTCCGGCCGCCGCTCCCCCTTGGTGCGTCCTGCCGCAGCGAGAGGCATGGAGAAGGCCACCCCCGCCGGACGCTGATCCCCGCGCTGCGCCCGCGAGCACGCGCCCCCTGCGCAGCCCTCCGCGTCCCCTGCCCCGGCCCCACCATGACCGGCTCCGCGGCCGACACTCACCGCCGCCCCCACCCCAAAGGCGCCAAAGGCACCCGGTCCCGGAGCAGCCACGCGCGGCCCGTGAGCCTCGCTACCAGCGGGGGCTCGGAGGAGGAGGACAAAGACGGCGGGGTGCTGTTTCACGTTAACAAGAGCGGCTTCCCCATTGACAGCCACACCTGGGAGCGCATGTGGCTGCACGTGGCCAAAGTGCATCCCAAGGGGGGAGAGATGGTGGGCGCCATCAGGAACGCCACCTTCTTGGCAAAGGTTAGTAGATCCGAAGGAGGGGGTGGGCTGGGCAGGGATGAGACCGTTTTACCTGCACGTAGCGAATAGAGGCAATTTCCATTTTCCTGGTCCTGCTGCAAACTCCCTTCCCCGCCTAATTCTTCCCGTCAGCTCCCACCCCTTTTGCTTAATGGAGATGTTTGTCTTGGATGTCTTAGCAATGGGAGAGAGAAAGGAAGAGGGCTTACTGTCCTGGGACTGTGTGGTCGACTTGTGCCAAGGTTTCTTTGAATCTGGAGCCAAATTCTGTTATTTATTTACCCTGTGTACATCCTCCTTCAGCGAAAACTGAAGCCCCCAGGTGGCACCAGTGATGCCAAGAATGCATAGACTCCCTCTCACTGTCTTTGGAGTCTCTTGGTCCTCCTCTGTGGTCCCCTCGAAAATGATTTATTAGACTGTGAATGAATTTACAACCAACCAGTCAGACTTCTCATCGTGAATCATTTCTAGACTTTTTGCCAGTTTTTTTTTTTTAAATGACAATGACTTTCACCTCTGAAACTCGCAAAACGGTCAACCCTCTCTTTTCCCAGCTTATCTGGGCTCTGAGAAAAGAGAAAAAAGTTTTAACCGTGACTTAAAAGGGACTTTCCAGTACACAGGATGAATGAATCTCACAGGATAGATAGAGAAAGAGACTCAGGAATGAAACTCTTTCTACCTTGGAGAGAAGCCAGTGAGCCAGCTGAGTTTGGCCAAGGATAATGTTGTTAAAATGGAGGGACATGTGCAGGGGTCTCTGTGTGAAACATCAGAATGCAAACTGGAGGAGGAATGCTCCAGAGCCTGGGGGCTGCAGCATGGCAGATGGTTTCCCGTGCACCCTGGGGACTCTGGTATGGCTGAGAAGATTCCTGGGCAGGTCTAGGAATGCCAGACCTGAGACCTGGAAAGCCATCTGGTCAAGTCCCCAACCTGGAGCATCTGGTGACCTGAGCCTCTGAGCCTGCAGGCCAGAAAGCTGTGTGTGCCCTTGGGGAACGTGGCAGAGCCTGTAAGCTTCCTCTGGCAGTTGGTTACAGTGTTTTATTATCCTGCTGGTCAAGGAGATCTTTCATTTTGCCCAAAGAGAATCTTGCCTGCTTTCGTGTCAGCTGTAATTACCCTTGCTGAGTCCTTCTGGAGGACTCAGAGCCTGAAAACAATTCTGGTACCGATGTACAGTTCTGACTTCAGAGTTGGTCCTTACTTAAGTGAGGCTTTCTCATTTAGCACCCTCAGCACCCACCCTGCTTCTAACTGTGACTTCATCCTTCTCCCGACATTGTGGATGGGGACCCCTTTTCTCTCTAGGAATCAGAGAATGTCAGCCTGGGTATAGATTCATCCCTGCCTCTCAGAAAAAACCCTCCCTTTTTCTGAAGGCCTCCTGGGAATGGAGGGCTCGCTACCGCAAAGGGCAGCTTCCAGGCCTGGCCAGATTTTGCTTACTGGGGAGCTCTTCTTAAACTGAACAGAAATCCGTCCCCACCCCCGGGTCTGTGTCATCGACAGTTCTGCTCAGGAAGCCTAGGACAGCACACCTGGACGCCTGTGCTGCTCACAGCTCCCTTGAGTGTTGGGAGATGGTTCTCTTGGAGTGAGGGAAGGAGTTGGTGTAAAAAATCAAGCTACTGAATTCTAGTCCTGGTTGTGCTACCTCTAGCTTCGTGACCTAGATCACTCATTTAAAAATCTCCCGCCTTCATTTTCTCATCTATAAGATGGGAGTCGATCAGGTAGGATGTAAAGTTCTTTCCAACTCTCAAATCCTGTGGGGTTCTGACCCGTTCGTTTTCAGGTTCCTGGTGATCTGTGCGACACCAGAGGGGCACTGGACTGTTCTGCATCTTCCTTTAATCGTCTTTGTCCACAGGTAGTTCTTTACCTTCTTTTTAAATGTATCATAGTTCCCAGATCAACTCACTTTGCTTGTCCTCTTTCTAGGACAGTTGCTACTTTGTCATGAGTCAGTCCCGGAAAGCAAGCACAATATGAAACACAATATTCTGAATGTTGTCTGAGCAGCTTAGAACATACACCACTACTTCCGGAGACCTGTACTTTGATACTTCCATTATTGTGGCTGAATTTTGGGTTCTTAAAAAAGAGTTTCTTTCTTTTCTTTTTTTTTAATATAGTGGCCGTATCATATTGTACTTTCACAGTAACGCTAAGGTCACATGAGAGCTTCTGCCAAGCCAGGACAACCCTAGCCTGAACGTGGGCGTCGGCTTTTTGAGCCTAAATAAAGAACTTCACTTTTCTCTCCTATGTTGTATCATGATGCTTGCTTCTCCATCCTCAGCCCCACTGCAGCATCCCTTCCCTCCTGGTTCTGACATCCCCCAAACTCTGACCCTGCACAGGCCCTGGGATGGGAGCAGCTCTTTTCTTTTTAAAAAATTTCTATTGGCATATAGTTGCTTGACAGTGTTGGGTTGTAAATCAGCTACATGTATACATATATCCCCTTTTCAGATTTCCTTCCAATTTAGGTCACCACAGAGCATTGAGCGGAGGGAATAGCTTCGAAAACTCCTGCTTCCAGGAACCTCTGATTCGAAGGCTATACCTGCTCTCAGCTCAGAAGAGTTTTTCCTCTGGGGCCAAGTCCTTTTCTCTTTTAATCAAATCAATGTCTTGCTGAGGAATTTGTACAGAAGCAGGGAGTAGGGGGAGTGGTGGTAGAGAAGTTGGAGAGTTTCAGAGAGATTAACCTTTTGGTGGGCTTCCCAGTTGGCTCAGCAGTAAATAACCCGCCTGCCAATGCAGGAGATGTGGGTTCGATCCCTGAGTTGGGAAGATCCCCTGGGGGAGGAAATGGCAACCCACTCCAGTATTCTTGCCTGGGAAATCCCATGACAGAGGAGCCTGGCAGGCTACAGTCCACGGGGTTGCAAAAGAGTCAGACACGACTTAGTGACTAAACAACAACAACAAACCTTTTTTTTTGACAATTGAATATGGATTAAGAAACAAAAGAAGTGACCAGAGTAAAGTATCAAAGACCTAGAAGGACTGAATGACACTTCCTTTGACAAAGGCATTCTGTTAGTAAGTTCTGTCCAGAGATCCAGGTGCCCTCACTGGGGAAGGGGGGACAGATGTCACCTGCTCTGCGATCCTCCTTCTAAATGTGTGACCTCAGGCCTCTGCCCTACTGGTTACCGGGTCTGAAGTTCCCATTGACTAGGTGAAAGCCAGGGTGTTTTAGGGATGGTGCAAGAAAGCAGCGCGAGTTAGTTGGCCGATAATCAAGGTTGGGAAGGAGAGGCAGAGAAGATGGCTGGCTCAGAAAAAAACAGCTGAGCCAAATAGGAGACAGCGCCTCCTGCTTCTTGACTGCCTGGAGCTCGACTCTCCTGGGGCAGACAAGCAGATGGATTCAGTGGAAAGCATCAAGCCGTTTCTTGCAGACGCCACGTTTTTGTAACTCATCCTCACATTGATCCCAAATTGGGACATAATTCACATTTAGTGGACTCCGCTTGGCCTGAGTGAAGAAGTGTGAGGGCTGTGGAGCCAGGCCTTACTGCAGTCAGGGCTCCACTCCTGCCGCCTGCTGGCACACACGGGCAGCTCACTTTCTCCCTGTCCGTTCCAAACCATCAGTCCCCACTTCCTGCTCAGCCTGAGGATGTGACCCCTGACCTTTGTACCAGGTTACCCATCAGCAGATTTCTGGGGCCCAGCCTGGGCTCAGGAGTGAAGTTCTGTGCTCCCCTCCAGCTTGCCAGAGAAGATTCTTCTGCCTGGAACCTGCACAGTGTATGGTACATTTCCAGGGCAGCGATGGCAAAAGGCTGTGCTTTCTTGTCAAAGACTCCTGGTGCCCGGGGCTCTCGCTGCCTCCCTGGCCCCTTTCCTGGCTGCCCCTTCTCTCCACATGGTGATGTATGGGGATGACACGCACAGTGGTGTCTGTCCGCATCCTTGCTCCTTGCATGCTTCTGACGGGTCATCATGTTTGGCAAGGATGGAGTGAGAGAGAGCCTGTCCGCCAAAGCTGGCCTGTGGCCTGTTTCCCTTTTCTTCTTGAACAACCGTCTTCCTGTCCACTCCCCTTCCCCCACGCCCTGACCATAGGCAGGTACAGTGCCTGTGGTGTTTAGTAGCTCGTGGAAGGGGTAGTTTAGATTTGTGCCCTCTAGATTCAGCCTTCTTCAGCTGGGATGTGGCTTGAGAAAGTTGGATGCAGTTGGCAGGAGGGACTTGATAGGGACAGAAGAAATCTAGGTTGAAGTCTTGGGTGAATCGGGGCAGGAAAACGACAGGAGAGACTCTCAGGACCCCAGTCAGGGAGGAGGAGAAAAAGGAGTGTTCCCTGGGCTTTCCATGAAAAGACTATACCCGTTAATTTTCCCATCATGCCGTAGGAGAGCATCCTACCAGGACTGGGTATCCACACTTCAGGATATCTCTATTGGAGAGGCAAAAAATGATCCTCTTCAGTGGCTTTAATTTGCAGTTCTTAAGTTGGGCACTGGAACATGTAAAACAATATTTATTCACTCTTTGCATTCCTTCTTTTGTGAACTGTCTTCATGGTCATTTAAAAAGTTGTGGGAAAACATATAATTTACCATTTTAAATGTATAGTTCATGTTGTACTTATAATTAAGTACGTGAATTACATGTACTTACATGTAAGTTCACATGTACTTACAATTAACTTCATGAATGAAGGATATTAACTCGTGTAATTCACATTGTAAGTAGGTTCACACTGTCGTACAACCGTTACCACGTTCCGTCTACGGAAGTTTTTCTTCTTCCTCGACTAAAACTTTGCACCCATTAAACACTGAGTTATCCCTTTTCCCTCCCTCAGCCTCTGGCAGCCACACTTCTATTACTACTTGTCTCTATGAATTTGACAGCTATAGGAACCTCACATAAGAGAGATCATCCAGTATTTGTCCTTTTGTGACTGGATTATTTCACTTAGCATCATGTCTTTAAAATTCTGGCTTAAATAGCAAGTGTCAGAATGTCCTTTCTTTTTAAGGCTGGATAGTAATGCATGACCAGTGTACTACATTGTGTTTATCCATTATCTGTTTGATGGACACTTGGGTGTCCATCTGGGCCATTTTCTTTTTTTGAAAATACAAATGTGCCTGTTTTTATTGTAAGCTTACCTATATTACCTTGATGACTGTATACTTTAGAGAAACTATTTTTTTAATTTTTTTTTATTGAAGGGTAATTGTTTTACAGAATCTCTTTTTAAAAACATTCATTTATTTATTTAGGCTGCGCCAGGCGTTAACTGTGGCGTGTGGGATCTTCAGTCTTCTGTTGGGGCATGCTGGCTCTAGCTGTGGCATGTGATATCTAGTTCCCTGATCAGGGATGGAACCTGGGCCCCCTGCCTTGGGAGCACAGAATCTTAGCCACTGGACCCCCAGGGAAGTCCCTGGGGCCATTTTCTTTTTATGAAAGCCTAGAGAGTTTTCTTAACCTCTTTGTGTGAACTCTTCATGAATTAAGGACATTAACGCATGGCCACCACGTATCCACGGGGATGTGGACGTTTTCATTCTCTTCCTTCAGGCTGAGAAGGCATCTCTGTGATGCTCCTGAGTTAAGCCTCCAGGGGCTCAAACTGCTGATTCTGTTTTCTAGTTCCTGAAAAGTGGACACCATTCAGACTCCTCACCCCCCCTCCCCGACCCCGTCTAGACCCCTGAAAACACACCGTTGATGAATAATGATAGCACAGCTAACACTTAAAGAGCCCCACGCGCCGAGCCCCAAGTTGCCTGCTTTATGCATTAGGTCATACAATCGTCACTGCCAGCCTGGAAGGTCTGAAGTAGGTGGTATTCTTTCTTATTTTATCAAGAAGGACCTGGAGGCTTAGAGAGGTGGGGGCAGCTTGCCCGGGGTCCACGGCACTTAAGTGAGAAAGCAGGGACTCGTAATTACCCCGCACGGAGCCTGCCTGGTTTGCAGTCGTCGGCCTGTGGGGGCGTGGGCAGCCGGAGGCTGACCCAGCCTGAGCCCCCCGCCAGCTGTCCCAGACGGCAGGGTGGGCTGGAGCCAGATGACCTCATCCCCTCGGCGGTCCCCAGCTGGGGTTTGGGGAATGTGGCCGCGGCTCCTGCACTCGCTCTCAGCCGGGGCTGAGGTAAGCGGGCAGCTGTTTTGAAAAGCCCTTGGGCGCCACTGGGCTTGCTATTCTGAGGACCAGCTGCCCCCCGACTCCCACCCCCGGCATCCGGCTCTTGCGGGCTCCGTCGGGCTTGGGGGAGTTGAAATCACTTGGTGGTCGGCCCTGAGAGCTGAGTCAGAACCAAGTGGCTCTGGCTTCCTCAGGGCTTCGGCCAAGGGAGGTCCCTCTGGGGATCCCTCAGGTGGCCGGCTGCAGTCCTTTCTGCTAACTAGGTGTCAGCCCCGCTCTTCTGTGTCGGTGGGTGCCCGTGGCTTCGTGAGCGGTGCCATTGCCCTTTCTGGTGCCTGTCCCACCTCCCGCTTTGTACCCGGCCCAGAGCTCGGAACACGGGAGGTGCAAAAGAAATGGTTGTCTGCTGCTTCCTCACTTCTGTGTGAAAGCTCTGGCACTTTCTTACACAGAATTCCGGGTGTGGGTAAATCCGTGGATGTTAGTGCGAAAGAAAAACAGGGACAAGCTTCCCCGTGTTTGCTAGGGCAGAAACACAAGGACAGGCTTCGTATTTTGACCCCCCGGGGCTTGTGGGGAGGGCCATGTAAACAAATGTTCAGATGGGAACATTTTGCTCCCAAAAATGACTCTCCGTGACAGGAATGTGATTTGAGTTGATGTGTCGTAAGCAAAATGTTTGCAGGACAGCTGTGTGAACGTGTGCACGCCAGTCTCACATTTCCTTTTTCTCTCAAACACACACACACACACATTGCACCTTGGCTGTGAAATAGGATGTGTGGCTAGTTCCTTCTTAAATAAAACCAGCAGAAGGTGTAGAAGTTTGAGAACCTCCTGCTTCAGGCCCAGAGGCCCCGCGCCCTCCAGCTTGGCGTGGAGCCTGAGCCTGCAGACCTGGGGGCAGAACCGGGGGCCTTCATGGACCGAGTCTGGCTCCGGTGCCCACAGGCTGTCCAGCTCTGCCCCCAAGTCTCTTCACCAGTGGCTTCCCCTTCTACCAGCTAAGCGCTCTGTCCCCAGGGTCTCCCTTTCCCTCTTTTCTTCTAGAGTGGGACTAACCTGACCTGCGGCCCCTTCTGCTCCTCCTTAAGTGACTTGGGCCTCCTCTCCCTCCTGCCGGAGCCGCCAGCCCACATGGGCTGGGGGGCCCTGTCCCAGCGTCTCCCCACCAGAGAGGCCGAGGTTAGAAGGGAAGTAAAACAGAAACCGCCCCCTTTCTTCCCAGGAGTGACTGGATTAGAAGCACTTGCTCATTTTCCCTCTTGGCCTGGTCGGCCGGGTGGCTCAGAGCTGAGCGCCATCTCGGCTCTAAATTCCTAAGAGGCACTTAGCTCCCCCTTCCCCGTCCTGGGAGCTAGTGTTGACCTAGAGGCAGATTAGGAAGTGCAGGGGAGACTGACCGCCAGGAGAGGTCAAAAGGTAAGACGGCTCCTGAGTTGGAAGAGGTGCCCTTCCCTGGGAAGAGTGGAGATGAGGGGAGTCTTTACGAATCCGCTCGGGGCTGGACTCAGGGAAGGGATTGCAGGGGGTGGTGTCGAGGAGAAATGCTAGGTGTAGCACCGTGTTGCCTCCCTTTGGGGCACCATTCATCTTGTATTCAGAGGTGCCCTAGAGAAGAACACAGGTTACCCCAGCCACGCAGCCAAAGTGTAGTGCAGTAAAAGTGTGAGGATTAATGGAGCAGCTTGGAACATCCCGGCCTGGGAGGGGAGGGCGGGACACCACAGGATGTGGTCCTTGGCCTCAAGAATTGCGGAGGCTCCTGTGGGGAGGAAGGCTGTGTTCACACAACACGCAGAGAGCCGTAGGGAGTCACTGCGACCCAGGGCGGGGTGTGTGCCAAGGGAACACAGGATGTCGGCAGGGGGCTGGCTGGTCTGGGGAGACCCTATCCTGGAGGCACCAGTTGAATAGGTGCCCAGGGCAGGGTGGCCAGCTGCGCTTGGGTACTACTGTAATGATGTAAAGTAGTTAGCCTCCAACTAATAAAAATAAATGGAAAAAAAAAAAAAAGGTAAGACGGCTCCTGAGTTGGAAGAGGTGCCCTTCCCTGGGAAGAGTGGAGAATCCGCTTGGGGCTGGACTCAGGGAAGGGATTGCAGGGGGTGGTGTCTAGGAGAAATGCTAGGCGTAGCGCCGTGTTGCCTCCCTTCAGGGCACCGTTCATCTTGTATTCAGAGGTGCCCTGGAGAAGAACACAGGTTACCCCAGCCACGCAGCCAAAGTGTAGTTGTGCAGTAAAAGTGTGAGGATTAATGGAGCAGCTTGGAACATCCCGGCCTGGGAGGGGAGGGTGGGACACCACAGGATGTGGTCCTTGGCCTCAAGAATTGTGGAGGCTCCCGTGGGGAGGAAGGCTGTGTTCACACAACACGCAGAGAGCCGTAGGGAGTCACCGCGACCCAGGGCGGGGTGTGTGCCAAGGGAACACGGGATGTCGGCAGGGGGCTGGCTGGTCTGGGGAGACCCTATCCTGGAGGCACCAGTTGAATAGGTGCCCAGGGCAGGGTGGCCAGCTGCGCTTGGGAGCAGCTCTCCGGTGGTCCTGACCCTTGGTCCACCCCGAGGCACTGGGCCCCACAGCATCTCCTTGATATGACCATCTCTCTCTACTTCTCTGCAGCCTTCGATACCCCAGGTTCCAAACTACAGGCTGTCGATGACGATCCCGGACTGGCTCCAGGCGATCCAGAACTACATGAAGACACTACAGTATCCTTCCCACCGGGGTCAGAGGAGGAGACCCAGCCAAGGGGATGGGCATGGTGATCGCAAGTCTGATGGCCTGTCTGTTCGCAGATGGTCAGCAAATGCGGGGTGAGGTCGATGAGGCCGGGGACGGAGGAACGGCGTGATGTGAGAGTCTCGGAGTGACCCTGGGGGGCCATCATTGCGATGATCAGACCCTCTCCCTTTAAGCAGCCGGCAAGGGGCGGCCAGGCAGTGGTGGGCAGGGCACGCCCCTGCTCCTCCTGTCTCTTCCTCTCTGTCTCTCCCTCCTCCCTCTCAGTCATCCTTGGCTCCTTCCAGCTCTCCTCCTCTGCCGGCTTCCTCCTCTCTCTTCCCTTCTAGTCTTCTGTTTCCTTGTCTGGGCTCTCACTTTTTGGCCTGATCCTGACCACGCCTCACCTACCAGAAGCCCGTCCGGTGCCTCCTTTTACCCTGGTGCTCTTGGTCCACTTTGCGTGAGTGAGTGTGGCTCTGGCTGGGGGCCCTCTCCACTTTGCGTGAGTGAGCGCGGCTCTTCCTGGGGGCCCTCTCCACTTTGCGTGAGTGAGCGCGGCTCTTCCTGGGGGCCCTCTCCACTTTGCGTGAGTGAGCGCGGCTCTGGCTGGGGGCCCTCTCCACTCTGCGTGAGTGAGCGTGGCTCTGGCTGGGGGCCCTCTCCATTTTGCGTGAGTTTGAAGAAGACCCAAGGAACCTTGTGGTTCCCGGCTGGGTGCAGACCAGCCAGCCGTGGCTCTCTTTTCTCCTCTGATCTAAGGAGTTGTCTGCAGTCGGGATTAGATCAGTTCTGAGCACCCGCGTGAGCTACATTGTAAGAATCCAGGGGGCAGGGTCAGATGGTCTCCCCGCCACGGCTGGTGCTTTATCTGGGATGGGCTCAGGCGGGAGCCGGGCTGTGAGCGATGTAAGTGAGCAGGAGGGGCTGTCTGCCCGAGTGAGTCAGGGAGCATCTTGCTCAGCCAGCGTCTGGCTCCCTGCCGCCTTCCTGGCCCCCAGCACGTGGTCCCCGAGGTCAGGCCTCTGCTGACCCCCGTCCTTCCTCCTAAAGACAGAGAGCTTAGCGGAGAGGATTTCACGGGGCTCTGCACACGTGTCCCATCTTCCCCGGAAGAGGCTCCCCTCTCTGCTACCGGCAAGAAGACTCCCTGCGGACTTGTGTGTTTTCCCTGAAGGGAAGGGTGCTGGCAGATAAGAACTGCCTCTTTGTTTGAGTGATCTCTCTCAGTTCTTTCACAGAAGATGAACTCCCTCCGTGGCATTTTCCCAGTAGAATCGTAAAGTAATATGAGGGATAGAAGGTAGCACCAGCCTCCAAGGGTCAGGCTGACAGCCCTAGCCTAGGGAAGGCCGTCTGGTTCGGTGCTGATCGCCACAGTGGGAACTCGTGTATGGAGCTCCCTGTGGCCCAGAAACGTAAACTCTTGCCAGAGTCAACCTGGACCCCCAAGAGCTGAGCCTTTCTGGATGTGACTGACTCCTCACAGAACATTCCAGAAGGTGATGGAAATTAGAACTTAAAATTGCCTGCCCCACTTCTACTTGGGACTTCCCTGACAGGTAAAGAATCTGCCTGCAATGCAGGAGACAGGGGACACATGGATTTTATCCCTGAGTCGGGAAGGTCCCTCGGAGGAGGAAATGGCAGCCCACTCCAGTATTCTTGCCTGGGAAATCCCATGAACAGAGGCGCCTGGCGGGCCACAGTGCTTGGGGTCACAAAGAGTCAGACACGACTGAGCCTCTAAGTAGGTCCCCTCTACTTAGGACGTGGTCTTCACAAGGATCGTCTGGCTGGAGGTTAAATAGGATAAACCTGGGGGGAAATACATTTTGGGGGCACGTTTGCATGTGCTTTACGTGTAACTGGCTCTTTCTCCCATAAACCATGTAGCACACTCTCAGTCTTGAAGGATCTTCTTTTTCATTTTTCTCTTCGCTGACCCGTTGTGATGGTCACTGACCTAGATCGGTGACTGCAGAGAGGGCCGGAGAAGCGAAAACACGCCCCGTTCTGCCGGGATCAGGTTCCCGGTCCCCTGCCATTGGCGTGGCCTCTCTGTTCTGCCCTCTGACCAGCCTTTTATTCGCAGTTCCATGGGGCTTTCTAGTGCTTTGTCCTGGACGCAAGGGCTGGTTCTAGGGTATGCAGACCACTCGGGGCCAGCCCTGAACTGGGCATGTTCTCAGCTGGGGATGCAAAAGGTGACTCCTCCCTTCCCTTCTGTCAGCCTCACAGCGTTGGCCCACAGGAGTATTGGCCTTGCACAGGATTCTGAGAAATGAAGTCTCTAGCTCTGAGCTCTGTTGTGTGGGGTGCAGCCTTCTGAGGGCGAGGGTGAGGTTTCTCTCTCTCTTCAGGCAGCCATTTACAGGAGGTTCTCCTCCCCAGCTCACTTTCAGGGCTGATAACTGTAAGGGACTGAGAAAGGATGGTCAGGCAATTTTTTATTAATTACTATCTTACTATGGGTTTGTCTCACTCTATGCACTAGATGTATAAACTAGATACAAGAACAGGGGGGACATCTGGGCATATAAATAGAACTTTTGCCAATTGCATTCTACTTTTACATTCTTCCCTGGTGGCTAAAGAAAGGTAAAGAAAGTGAAAAAGTGAAAGTCGCTCACTCGTGTCCAACTCTTTGTGACCCCATGAACTTTACAGTCCATGGGATTCTCCAGGCCAGAATACTGGAGTGGGTTGCTGTTCCCTTCTCCAGGGGATCTTCCCAACCTAGCGATCGAACTCAGGTCTCCCACATTGTGGGCAGATTCTTTACCATCTGAACCACCAGGGAAGGCCAGAAGATAAAGAATCTCCCTGCAATGCAGGAGACCCAGGTTGATTCCTGGGTTGGGAAGATCCCCTGTAGAAGGGAACAGCAACCCACTCCAGTATTCTTACCTGGAGAATCCCATGGACAGAGGAGTCTGGCACGCTACAGTCCATGGGGTTGCAAAGAGTCAGACACGACTGAGCAACTAACACTAAATATACCAGGAATCTCACTGCTTGAATGAAATCTTTGGTAAAGTGAAAAACCACAATGAGACTGTGGAGACCTTTATTTTCCTCTTACCTCCAGGGTTTTGTACATTGTATTTTTAAAAGCTGAGCGGGCCTGTATTTTTACGGGTTATTCTTATGGCTCATGCTGGTAATTTCCCAACGGTTGAGCCTCTTAAAATCATCCCCTGGCCACCCCCAAGAACCTCCAAGCCATCAGTCCCAGATGGGGTGACTCTGGATAACATCTGTGGTCAAGACCTGGCCTGAAGTCAGAATCGCCAGGGTGGAGCCCAGAATCTGCTTATTACAGACTCCCCAGGTGGTTGTTAAACACGCTCATGTCCTAGGGGCCAAGCGCGTCTGTGCCAAGACAGGAATCCCAGCTCTTCTTGGGAGGGTGTGCAGTGCCTTGAGGTGATCATTGCCTCCCTCTGCAGCTGCCTGTAGGGGCACACATCTAACCTCATACTCCTCTCCTGGGCTACAGGTTCAGGCTTCATTAGCACCTTCCCAATACACACTTTTTCTGTAGGATTTTGTTTGAGGCAGAAAAGAGAAACAGAAAGCAGCTTTTCTTTAGGTTCAGAAAAAATCAAGATCCAGTGTCAAGAGAGCCTGCTATCAGAGAATCTCCAGTCCCCTTCAGAGTGAGCTGATGTGGGCTTGTAGGTCTCTGAGACCTTGTGGGCCACCAGCTCAACCCCAGGTTGTGGGTAATGGGGTCAGTCTCCTCAGATTTAACAATCAATGTCAAGTGTCAGTCAGACATGACATGGAAGAGATGTCTCCCCCGTAAACTCTGCTGCGGTCCGTATGCTTTGAGAAACTGCTGCCGTCTACCTGCCTCCATCCCTCCATCCCTCCGTCCATCAACCTACCCTTCTGTCTGCAGCCAGCCAGCCAACCTTTCATTCATCCGTCCACCTATCCTGTCTTCTATTTTTTAATGTTTATTTTATGACTTACTTGGTCGTACCTGGTCTTAGTTTTGGCATACAGGATCTTTAGTTGTGGCATGGGGGAATCTAGTTCCCTGACAAGGGATAGAATCCAGGCTCCCTGAATTGGGAGCATGGAGTCTGAGCCACTGAATCGCCAGGGAGGTCCACATAACCACTGTTCTGTCAACCCCATTCTCCCTTCCTTCCTTGCATCCACCCTCTTATCCATCCATCTGTCCACCCAGCCATTCACTTATCCCTCATATTTAATATTTGCTAACTGGAATATGTTGGACTTGTGCCAAGCTTTAGGGTGATACAAAGATGAGAGATAAACAGTCCCAGCTCTCAAAGAAATTATAGTTTAGTAGGTGAATTAAGACATGTAGTCAACAAAACAAAATACAGAGCATATTGAAAAGAGCTATTCTGAAGGTCTGGGGTGCTTTGGGGCCTAAAGCAAGGCAGGTCAGTGAGGAGGAAGACGCTGTTGGTGATATTCCGGCTACCGGACACCTGGACAGCCCCGACTCCCTCATCCCTTCGAGAAATGAAACATAGCTTCCTCTGCTGGATTACTGGGGCCTTTGGAGTTTTCTGTCACTTCCTCTTTACATACTTCACACAGATACAATCATACAGGGACCCAGTTCTTTGAAATTAGGAAGATGAGACCGCTGAGTGGGTAAGTGGTGCATGGTCTATGGACCAGGAGACTGTGCTTCTGTCTAAGAGCTGTCATCTTTCTCTCCCACTCTTGGTCCTTTATCCCAGTGCTCAAACATTCTGGTCCTTGAGGGGTGAGGGTGGGGCTGCCCCAGGACCAGGTTGGCAGTGAGACTGCGGTCTGGGCCCCTCTGGACAGCCAAGCTCAGTGGTGGAGACTAATACAGGGGTGGGGGAGGCGTATGAAATTTGTTTTATGTGGCCTTTTCACTTGCTCCCTCGTAACATCCCTTGTCCTGGGTTAGTGGGAGGGTACTGTGGATTAGGGACACTAACCTCACAAAGGGTTTCCCAGGTGGCGCTGGTGGTAAAGAACCCGCCTACCAATGCAGGAGACCCGGGTTCGATCCCTGGTTTGGGAAGATCCCCTGAAAGAGGGCATGGCAGCCCACTCCAGTATTCTCGCCTGGAGAATCTCCATGGACAGGGAGAGGAACCTGGTGGGTTACAGTCCATGGGATCGCAAAGAGTCAGCCAGGACTGAAGCGACATAGCATGCATGCATGCAACCTCCCAAAACTACCTCTTGGAGAGAGGAATGGAGAATTTAGGAATTTTAGTTCTGCCAAGTGCTTTGCCAGCCTCCTGCGAGGCCAGTTCTCCCCTTTTCCTCTGTATTCCTGCGTGCTGGGCCTAGCGTGGAGACTTGTGGGTTGACACACAGACCGAGTGCATAATTAAAGGAGCCTGAGATCCTTCCTTGTGCTCTACCCTACAGGTTAATGGAAACAGCGAAAGAAATGACTCGGGAGTCCCTGCCTATCAAATGCCTTGAAGCTGTCATCCTGGGCATGTATCCTTTAAGGGATGTGAGTTTAAATGTGCTCTGTAGATGGTAGCATCACTCTGGAGCTGGTTGTGCCTTTCATATCCTAGGTCCTCAGAGATGACGCTCGTCATCTGCGTGGAGGAAATTGTCAAGCTCCCCTGGTGCTTCTCTTAAACTTTCACCATCTGGACTTGAACCAAATCAGAGCTCGGCTGCTCGACCATCTTCAGTGTAACCTGTGAGCTGAAGCCTGCTTCGAGGCCAGCTCCCAGGCCAGACGCATTAGTTGCGAGGAGAAGTCTAGCTTCGGGGGGACAAGTGAGAGCGTGTGTGTCATTATTTTTTGCATTAACCTGGCATTGCAACAGTAAGGACACTCCCATGGGATTATTCAAACCCATCTGCAGGAAGAATTCTCAAAGTGGACTGTGGAGAGGCAGTCCACCGTGTGGTGTAGTGTCTGGACCCTACAGGATGTAAGGCTGAAAGCAGANACTCCCATGGGATTATTCAAACCCATCTGCAGGAAGAATTCTCAAAGTGGACTGTGGAGAGGCAGTCCACCGTGTGGTGTAGTGTCTGGACCCTACAGGATGTAAGGCTGAAAGCAGACTCTGGACTCTTAACACTTCCCATTCCATTTTCCACTAGGCGCCTGGATCCTCAGCCTGAGGGGAAATACGGTCCAGAATAACCGCGATGACCCTTGACTTCTTAGTGGTGGCGGCAGTAGAACGTGATCTGGTAGAAAAGCAGAGAAACTCCCCGTCCCGGGACGGACGGCTCGAGTAAACCAGCCAAGGGAATGCAGCCAGACGTGAGCTCGAGAGGTGGTCCCAGGTTAGGACAGGTAGGTCCTTTAGTGCTGTGCTGAGAAGGGTGACTTTTTCCAAAGACAGCAAGCAGCCCTGCCGAAACCTCTGGAGCAGAGACGGGACATGATGAGCGTGCACTCCGGAGAGACAGTTCTTGGGGCGGACAGAAGGATAGCCGGGGACGGTGAGACTGCATCTTTGAAGCCAGTGAAGAGCCATTCCCTGAGGGGGATGGCGGTGCTTGAACCATGGTCTTGGCCATCGGGATGGCTTTGAGGGGACAGTTTCAGAAGATCTCAGGGACCGAGAAATTAGCTGGCACTGATGCAGAAGGAAGTCCATGAGTACTACAGGTTTCTGGATCAGTCAGCAATCTGCGGAAGATGGGCTGAAGGAAGGCGAGAGACTCAGGTGCAGACCTGAACTCAAGACGGTAGCCGTGAAGGTCGAGGAGGTGAGTTGGACATGTCTTCAGCCCCGTGTGGGGACTCATGTGCGGAGCTTCAGGAGAGAGGCCATGCCTCTGCATTTCTGGTGTGGCAAATTGAGTGATTGGGTAGTAATGCCACCGTCCACGGGGAGGACTTACGGGGAGGGTCAGAGTTACGGGGAGGATTTGGACATGTCGAATTTGAGGTGCCTGTGGGGTGTCGAGTCATGTATTAGACCGCGGAGCTCAGGAGGAGGGTCCTGGCTGGAAATAGAAACTTCCGGGCGGTGGGCGTTTTAGGGGTGGTCGTGGTTTCAGGGATGACATCCCAGGGTTTTCTGCTCTAGTTGGACACAAGGAGCCTGTGACAGAGACTGAGGAGGGCAGTTAAGAGAAGTGGAAGGAAAACCGGGAGAGAGGGGAGACACAGACGTCAGTGGGAGGCTTCAGACTGGGGACGGTAGACTGGGTCTGGGCTGTTTTCCTGGCCCTCTGGACATCTTCACGGGGAAGGGAACTTTGCTCCTCTCGTCTGCTGACCGCTGTCTGGCCGGATCTGAAACACAACTGTCCACAGGTGCCCAGGCTCGGGCCTGAAGAATGGGAACTGGAGCCTCGTGGAGGCCCTTGCCCACCCCTCTAAGGCATACCTTCCCGCTGCTCCCCACCCGGGAGATGGACACGTCTGGGAGCCCAGCAGGAAGGCAGGGTGGGGGTGGGGACAGCAGATGGCTCCAGGCCCCACCCTTTGGAGGCAGGAGTCCACACAGCTGTTGGGCAGAGCCTCCTGTGAGCTTAATGGGCAAACAGTTGTCAGGGATTTGCTGGTGGTGGGTGAAGGAGCCCCTCGCCGTGGGCACCAGCTGCCTCCAGACCCTGTGCTGGTGGGGGTCGCGGGGCCCCTGGATGGAGGTCGTCTGGTGTCACACAGTGGTCCTGTACGCAGTAGTCTTGTTGCCACACAATTGCATCAGTCCAAGTGGAAATTAGCTTAGGTTCCTGGAGTTGCTTAAAACCCTTGGGGTTGGGGGGCTGGACCGGTTCGGAGGCCAGCCTGCTCTGGCTCTCTTTTGTTCTTACCATTGTGTCATTTCAGGGAAGTGGAGGGAGGGTGGAGAAATACTGCCGAACTCAGGGAAATTTGACTCCTGCGTAGACAAGACACAGAGCTGGATTCTAAAAGTGACGGCCTCTTTGTCTTTGCTCTGTCAGCATCCCTGTGACCTGCTTTCCTCCGGGACACAGCCAAGGGTGAACTCAGGTCATCCGTCTGCCTCCCACGGGTCCTTCCGCAGGTCCTGGGGGACAAGGGATGCGCTGGTGACTCTCAAACAGGTCGACTCAGCTGCTTCTTGCAACCCTGTGTCCATCAGCTTGTCCTCGTTTCTCGTGTTTGACGTGAGCGCGGAGTTCAGGATTCATTCGTGAAGGGCCGCTTCTTTTGATCTTGGTTTTGTGATCGTGTTGGAGAGAGAGAGACTTGGGGGTCATGGCACTTCTTTGTGTCGGCCCCATTGGCCCTACTAGGGCTTAATCCTGGAGCTCAAGTGCTAGGGTTTCTCCAGTAACAGCTGTATTATCAGAGGCAGGGTAGGCATCGCCCCGGCAGGCTGGGTGCTGGGCCAAACCTCCCTGGGCTAGGGGCACTGCTTTCTTTTCCCAAGAAAAGCTCCGGCTACTTCCCGGTCCCCTTCCACACTTCCTAGCCCCCTCCCTCTTCTCTCACAGAGAATCCAGGTCCCACTGATTGCCGGAATGATGGAGCCAATCTGAGTGATTGATGACTTGTCACAGGATGGGCTAGTGGTCCCTCCGGTCACTCCCCACCCTCTCTTCTCCCCTTGACTGACTCTTCTTGTCCTGTAGGAATCCTGGTGTGGTCACACCAAGGCCCCTTCTCTGCTCTCCCTGAGGTTGCTGGGATTCCTCTCTCTCAGCATGGATCGCAATGGGGTGGGTTTTTTCAGTTTTACTGAGATAAAATTGACTTAGAGCACTGTGTAAATTTAAGATGTACACTGTAATGACTTGACATATATATTGCAAATGCAGGGTTTCTAAGAATTGTGGTGACATATTCAAAACTTGTTCAGTTCAGTCGCTCAGTCGTATCCGACTCTCTGCTACCTCGTGGACTGCAGCAGGCCAGGCTCCCCTGTCCATCACCAACACCCGGGGAGCTTGCTTCAGCTCATGTTAATTGAGTCGGTGATGCCATCCAACTATCTCATCCTCTCAACCATGTTATCCTCTCCTGCTCTCAGTCTTCCCCAGCATCCCCTAATGTGTCAGCCCTTCGCATCAGGCGGCCAAAGTACTGGAGCTTCAGCTTCAGCATCAGTCCTTCCAGTGAATATTCAGGACCGATTTCCTTTAGGATGGACTGGCTTACATTTACCATTTTTAACTATACAATTCAGTGGCATGGAGGACATTCACGCTGTTATACGGCCATCTCCACTGTCTGTCTCCAGTGCCGCCTCTTCCCAACTGAAATGCTAAGCTCATTAAACAGGGTCCCCAGCCCTGGACGACCACCATCCTACTTTATGTCTCTGTTACGAGTTCAGCTCCTCCAGATACCTCATGAGGTTGAATCATACAGTGTCTGTCCTTTTCTGACTGGCTTATTTCACATACATTAATTTCCTCAAGTTTCTTTCCTGTTGTAGCATATATGTGCTAGAATTTCCTTCCTTTTTAAGGCTGAACTATTCCATTGTATGTATATACCGCACATTGTTTATCCGTTCATCGCTTGAATAGACCCTTTGGTTTTTTCCACTTTTTGGCTCTCATGAGGAATGGTGCTGTGACATTGGTGTGCAAGTATCTGTTGGAGTCCTTGCATTTGGTTCTCTTGGGTAGGTACCCAAAGTACGGTTGCGGGGTCATATGGTAATTCTGTGTTTAATTTGCTTGAGGAGTTGCCGTGCTGATGGTATTGTGTGTCTCCCCGCTCCCCCCTGCCGGCTCCTGGCCACACCTGTAGCAGGGGGATCTTCCCCAGCTGAGGATCAAACCCTTGCCCCTGGAAGGAGAAGCATGGAGTCTTAGCCCCTGCACCACCAGGGAAGCCCCAGTGTTGTGTCCATGTTGAGTCTGTCTCTCTCTCACACTTTGAGGGAAGAGCTGTGTACTTCATCTTTGACTCCACAGCCCTACCTAGCAGTCTGTCTGGCGTAGGAAGTAGTGTTTGTTACGCTGACTTAACTGAGGAGTGCCCTTGTTCCAGCCCCAGAGAACTCGCCCCAGAAAGCAGGGAAGAATTTATGTAAGAAGACCCAGAAGGATGTGATTTCACTCCCTTACTGCCAGCTAACCTCACATGATAAAGTGAAGAGAAAGCAGGTAACCATTTTTATAGAGAGGAGCCATCTGTGATTAAATTGAGGTCAGATGACAAGACTTCTTCCTTTTAAGGGTACCTGGATTAGCCCTATACCCTGTGCAGTCCTTTTTTAAAAAAAAATATTTCTATTTGAAAAATTTTAATATAATTTTAAAGGTTACTTTCCATCTACAGTTATTACAAAATACTGGCTCCATTTCCGGTGTTGTACAGTACATTCTTGAGCCGGTCTTACACCCAACAGTTTGTTCCTCCCCACTTCCCATCCCTATGTTGCCCCTTTCCCCTTCTGGTACCTACTAGTTTCTTCTCTGTATCGTGAGTCTTGCTTCTTTTTTTTATGTTTACTAGTATGTTGTGGTTTTTGGATTCCCCAGGTAAGTGATATCCAATGTTTGTCTTTCTCTGTCGAGTGCAGTCCTTTTAAGCATAAGGAGATGTATCCTCACAACGTAAGGTTCATCCTTTCAGCAAGCATTAACCAGACACTTCTGTGTGCTAGGCCTGTGGGATGCCCAGGATGCAAAGTAGAACTCCTGCCCTTGTAAGGTACAAACACATCCACACAGTGCTGGGCGAATAAACACAGAGTGCTCGGGGAGTTCTTGCAGGGGATGGGGAGACTCCATCCACCCTGAGGAAGGTCAGGGAAGGTGTCAGCCAGGAAGTGAGGCTCTTCCAGTCAGGGTGTGGCCTGTGTGAAAACGAGAGAGTCCATAGCATCCTTACCACTCATGTTTCTTAGGAGACCCCAAAGATCTCTGCCAGGTTTAAAATCCCTTATGCTATAAGGCTGACCTGCAAGAAGCCAAAAAAGAAGTTATACTAAAATAGGGACATGAGGTCTATACAGTGGGTTTAGTAGTTTATTTTTTGAAAGTTTCGTAGGTCACTTGGTCTCATAGCTTTGTAACATGTTTGTTGTTATTCAGTCACTAAGTCGTGTCTGACTCTTCGATTCCATGGACTGAAGCCCACCAGGCTCTTCTGTCCTCCACTGTCTCCCAGAGTTTGCTCAAATTCATGTCCGTTGAGTCGGTGCTACTATAATCATCTCATCCTCTGCTCCCGCCTTCTCCTTTTGCCTTTAATCTTTCCCAGCATCAGAGTCTTTTCCAATGAGTCAGATGTAATCTAAAGGTCATTTAAATTTTTCAGTTATATTTGACTTCATATTCTGGGGGAATACATGTGCTGAGGGCAGTGGGCATAGATCTGTGGCTTCTTTATGGTCTCAGGGTGTATCCTGCAAAAATGTCATAGGTTGGGAATTCCCTGTCGGTCCAGGGGTTAGGACTCTGTGCTTTTTGCTGCCAAGCATACAGGTTCAATTCCTGGTTGGGGAACTAAGATCCTGCAAGCTGTGCAGCCACAAAAGTAAATCATCATGGATCAGCTGTAGGTCAGTGTGTAGGGGAGATGAGACAGTACAGAGGATGGTGAGCAGGAGCTGAATCATGGCAGACTTTGCAGAGGGATTTGGACTAAGTCCTGGAGAAGGTGAGAGACACTGAAAACTTCAGCAGAAGAATGATATGTGCCTCATTATGGCTTCAATAGATCTTTCTGGTCACCATGTAGAAAGTTAATTGGAGCAGAGATAAGAAATGGTGAAGACAAGTTCCCAGAGAGTAGAGAACTGTACCCCCTAACCAAGTATTAATACTTACCCTGCACAAGCCAGCTTCCTAGGCGGCACCAGTGGTAAAGAACCTGCCTGCCAATGCAGGTAGATGTAACAGACACGGGTTTGATCCCTGGGTTGGGAAGACACCCTGGAGGAGGGTACGGCAACCCATTCCAGTTTTCTTGCCTGGAGAATCCCATGGACAGGGGAGCCAGGCAGGTTACAGTCCATGGGGTAGACATGATTGAAGCGACTTAGCGTGCACTCATACACCAAGCCACTATGTTAAGAGCCTGGCTTGTTACTTATTTTAGCAAAAGCCTGGTGACACCAGCAGTTTTCAGCAGAGTGTATCTGAATTTTTAGTGTCTCTCTTCAGAAGAGCTGGATCGGTGAGTCACCGTGGGCACACCAGGACCGTCTAGAGACTTGGAGATAGACTTGAGGATGTGGTGCCTCTTGTCCATCGTTGCAGCATTTGGAGTCTGTGGGGCAGTTACTTGAAGCTGTAGGCTGTGGAGTTGCTGAGCCCAAACTGAGTTAATAGAGATTGGATGGCTCGATCCCAATGATCCAGTCCGTGGAGAGAGCTGAGTTGTGTCACCAGGTGATTTGGGGACTGGGGGGGGCCCGGGGTTCTGATGCTGCAGGCAGCTCTCTTGGCACTGGGTACTGCAGCCAGTACCCAAGGCTGCTGGCACGGGTGTGCCAGGGCCAGTGAGAGGCGCAGACAAGTCCAGGTGTGACGCATTCTGACACTATCCCGGCGCTTCCTTTTCCATCAGTTGGTCTGTGTCTTCTCCATCGCCACTGCCTTGCTTTGATCCTGGTCATCGTTTCTCCCCGCACCGTTGGGGAGGCCTTCAATTTCTGGTCTGCTCCACATGCCCAAGTCATAATTAGTGACTGAGAACATCACTCCAGTGACATAAACCTACTTTTAATAGCTCGTCATCCCCTGTGGAGCACCAGGTTAAGAAAAAGTACCTTGAGATTGTTGTGTTTGTATTTATTTAATTACTAAAGAAGAAAGGAAATCTCCGCTCTTTGTCCCATATAAATTTGGTTTGGTGTGCACCAGATAGCAGGTATGTCAAAGATAGTGAGTGAATTCCTGTAAGAGGATTGATCTGGAAAGATGAGGTCTGGGCCTGCTCAGAGGCAGAGGAGTGGATCCCCTGACTGTGTGATCCACGTCCCCTTCCTGGGAGTCCAAGTTCTGGTATCTTCAAGGCCTCGTTTCTCTTCCTTGACTCAGATTGTCTTAAGATACTTAACGAATGGACAGCCTTCCATCGAGCGATTCCCCATCAGCTTTAAAACCTACTTCTCAGGAAACTACTTTCACCACGTTGTGCTGGGGATTTACTGCAACGGCCACTATGGCTCGCTGGGCATGAGCCGAAGGGCTGAGCTGATGGACAAGCCACTGACCTTTCGGACTCTGAGTGACCTCATCTTTGATTTTGAAGACTCCTACAAGAAGTATCTTCACACGGTCAAGAAGGTCAAGATTGGACTCTATGTCCCCCACGAGCCTCATAGCTTCCAGCCCATCGAGTGGAAGCAGCTGGTCCTCAATGTCTCAAAAATGTTGAGGGCTGACATAAGGAAGGAGCTGGAGAAATACGCCAGGGACATGAGAATGAAGGTGGGTACAAGGGAGGCAGATACGGGATGCAAGACCGTTCTTTCATTTTCCCTCTCTTTCTCTCTCTTTCTAGACACGTGCCCCGTGTTTCTGAGATGGTCAAAAGTTTCTCAAGGTTATCTTGCTTAGTAGCCACCCTTTTAAATAATTTTGGGGACTTCCATGACAGTCCAGTGGTTAAGACTCCAAGCTTCCACTGCAGAGAGCATGAGTTCAGTTCCTGGTCAGGGAACTAAAATTCCACATGCCACGTGGTATGGACAAAATAGAATAATAGTAAAAAATTCATAAAGGATTTTGTAAGGCGAGTGCAGAGAAAAAGAGAGTGAGCCTGGCAGTCGGGTAAGAAAAGGAAATTTATTAGAGGGAAAAGAGAGGGTGACTGGCTCTTAAGGAGAACCAGCGTTCTCCCTTTCTGATGGAGCCCTTCTTATACCCCGCCAATGAAAAATTCTCTGAAGGGATGGTCACATAGCTGGAGGTCTGGAATCTGGTGGTCTTGCAGCTTTGAGAAGATAGGCACCCGTGAGATAACAGGATGCCATTTGGGCAATTTGGTCAGTCTCACAGATCACTGTGATTTATCCTTTGTTTGCGAGGTCAACATAACGAGCCATCTTATCAATGAGACCCCATGTGGACCCTATCAGATTTGATTTTTGACATGGACAATTTAAGTTTCTTTGCATATACTACTTTAAAAACCAGAGCTAAAGTCCATGTGGGTTTTGTAGCTGAATCAAAGTCTTGGCCTGTAGTTCCTTGAGTTTTGTGAGTTAATCTAAACTGTTAATCACCGTATACTAAGGCTCCAGTTTTGTTCTGTTTTGTCCTAGTAATAAGAGTGGGCAATCATCTCAGTTTCCGTGAGACCTCGGGCTTTCCAAAGACATGAAACTTTCAGCATTTAAAACCAAGACAAGGACTTCCCTAGTGGTCCAGTGGCTAAGAATCTGCCTGCCAGTGCAAGAGACATGGGTTCGATCCCTGGTCTGGGAAGATTCCACATGCCACGGGGCAGCTAAGTCTGTGCCCCGCAGCTACTGAGCCTGAGCTCTAGGTCCCGAGAGCCCCCGCTGCTGAAACCTGGGTGCTCTAGAGCCGGCGCTCTGCAACAGGAGAAGCCACCGCACCGAGTGGGCCGTGCACTGCAGCTCAGGATCGAGCCCGGGTCTCCCGCATTGGAGGCAGACGCTGTAACCTCTGAGCTGCCAGGGAAGCCCGCAGCTGGAGGGTAGCAGCTTCCCTGCTTGCTGCAACTCGAGAAAGCTGGAACGCAGCAAAAATAAATAAATAATGAAATTAAAAAAAAAAAAGTTAAAAAAAGCAAAACCAAGAAAGTCTCAGGCAAACCAGGATGAGTGGGTCACCCTGCTGTATAATTTATCAGATTACACCGAGTCACGTTTTATCTCTGGTTGGCTTATTGAGTTGCAAAGCCCTTGGGCATAAAATGCTGACCTGGTGTCACAGTAGCAGACAGAGGAGCACACGTCCTGCTGTAGTTTCTATAAACGACGCTCATCAGCGCTTCTTCCATCCACCGCGTCACTGGCGAGGGGACAGGGTGCCTGCTTGTCCTGGTGCCTCCAGGGCTCGTGGAGTCACTGAGGGCTGTGTCTACACCGAGGCCCATGGGAGGAAGGGATTATGCAGAATTCCTGCTTGGTTGTGTTTAGCATCTGGGGGCTCGTCATCTTCACTTGGTAGGACTTGGAATGGAGATTTTTTTTTTCTAGCCGCACCATGAGCATGTGGGATCTTGGTTCCCTGACCAGGGATCGAACCTGAGCCCCCTGCAGTGGAAGTGTGGGGTCCTAACCACTGGACTGCCCGGGAATTCCTTGGAGTGGAGATTCCTGATCCTTTGAACCCACTGTGTGCATGCGTGTGGGCTTCCCAGGTGGTACTAGCGACTAAGAACCTGCCTGCCAATGCAGGAGATGTCAGAGATGCAGAAGACAGTTCCATCCCTGGAGCAGGGCATGGCAACCCACTCCAGTGTTCTTGCCTGGAAAATCCCATGGACAGAGGAGCCTAGTGGGCTACAGTCCATAGGGTCACAAAGAGTCGGATACAACTGAAGCGACTTAGCACGCATGCGCATGTGCATGTATGTGGGGTGGAAGGATCCAAGGAAGAACAAACTGGCTTCTGGGGCAACATGGATGGGACTTTGTCATCACAAGAGGGGGATTTACTGAGCAACCAAACAGCCCCAGGAGGCTGAGGCACTGGGCTGTCTGAAATGGGGGATGGGGCACAGGGTCATCCTGTCATCCTCGGGGCAGTGGCCCCTCTGCTTCTTGTGGTGACCTTCTGACACCAGGTCAGAATTTTATGCCCAAGGGCTTTGCAACTCACAAAGCAAACCAGAGATAAAACGTGACTCCGTATAATCTGATAAATTGTACAGCAGGGTGACCCACTCATCCTGGTTTGCCCGAGACTTTCTTGGCTTCTCTTTTCTTTTTTTAACTTTTTTATAATTTCATTACTAATTTTTTTATTTTTGGTCGTGCTGGGTCTTTGTTGCTGCCCTCCAGCTTTCTCTAGTTGCAGCAAAGTGCCTCGTGAGCGAGGCCCCTGGGTGGCGCAGACCTCCTCCCAGAAGTCTTCCAGCCCAGGGCTTTGGGCAGCTGGGATGACGAGTGGGCGGGGCTGGGATGCTGGGCTTTGGGAAGGCACAGAGGGTCCCTGGGGAGCCAGCGTGGTGACTCCTCCTATCTCCTCCAGATCCTGAAACCTGCAAGTGCCCACTCTCCAACCCAAGCGAGAAGCCGGGGGAAATCCCTGTCCCCCCGCAGGAGGCAGGCGAGCCCCCCGCGACGGCTCGGCAGGCGAGACAAGTCGTGAGTAGTATCCTCCCCTCCCCCCGCCATGCCCAGCTCAAGGCCCAGCGCATACACTCTGGGCTTGGCATTCGAATCAAGTGGTGATCTCCAAGAGATGGGCCTCTCGCGCGGGGGACATCTCTGATAGAAAGGGGGTCCCCCATGCATGTCACCCCCAGTGCTCTCACCCTCCTGACGGTCAGATGGAGACACAGCTGGAGGGATAAGCCCCAGACGCTGCGAGATCTGGAGAAGAGCCTGGAAGGAACCCTGGCCTTAGAGTTAGGAAGCCGGGGTCTGGAGCCAGCTCGGCTGCTTACGGAGCTGTGGGGCCTTAGACATGTCATGCAGCCTTTCTGGGCTCACATTCTCTCACCCCAAAAATGAGACCGTTAGAAGGGATGAACTTGCCTGTTAATAGAACCATAGCCCTCTGTGCCCAGTAGAAAGCGCGATCGCCCTCCGTGGATGGTGGCATCAGAAACAGCGCTCTGCCTCCCCTCTTTCCTTGGCTGGCTGTACCCTCCTCTGTTTTAGCCTCGAATCTGGCGACTCCTCGCCTCCTACTTAGATCAAAGTGATCCACTTAAGAAATGATAGATTGAAAAAAAAAAAAGAAATCATAGATTGGAGGTGCTGAGGCTGCCCAAAGAAGCCAGTGATATTCCCCTGGCAAATACCTGGGCCTTAAGTACGCTGGGACAGAAATACTGCCTTGACGAATACCAGCAGCCTGCTGTGTCTGTCACACGGGTTCTCACCGTGGGGGCGACCCAGGGGTGCAGGGCACAGAGGGGCCCCGGCGCGTCTGCCCGTTCACCTTGCAGCCCTGGCAAATGCTTGGGGGCGTCTTAGTTTCCTTATGCGTCAAAGGGGATCAGAATGCTTTTCCTGCCCATCTCACAAGGTGCTGTAAGCTTAGGTTAGAAGGTGTGATAAGAGCGATTTGTGGATGGTGGACTGTGTTACACCACATGTTGTTACTGTCACGGCATTCCTGTAGTGGGAAGAGAGAGTTTTAGTTTTCCTTTTCAGAGGAAGGAACCAGGGCCCAAAAGATCTTGTGCTGTGTCGTGTAGTTGGCCAGTGACATAACTGGGGCTAGAACCCAGGCCTCTTCACCCTGGGAAGGTGGTGGGGGAGGAGAGCGTTGCTTCGGTCTGGGAAGAACAGGACAGGATGGAGTATTGTCATTTTCAGGGAAGTTTTCCTGTTCATCTCTGTGCCGCCTCCCACTGCCAGTCCCAGGCTTCTGCACCAACAGCCAGGAAGGTCTTGGGACTGGAGCCCAGGATTTGAAAGGGGAGGGTTGAGTGCTCCTATAACTGAAGGTCAGAGTGGTTTCTTTTTTTTTTTAATTTTCATTGGAGGATAATTGCTTTACAGTATTGTGTTGGCTACTGCCGTACAACAACGTGAATCAGCCATAAGTATGTATGTCCTTCTTCTTGTGCCTTCCCCCCTCCCACCCCACCCCACCCCTCTGAGTAGGACATGTTGAAGTCCCTGTATTATACAGTAACTCCCAGTGGTTTCAACATAGGCTTGTCCTTTTAGAGAGCAGGATGGCTTTTAGACCTGTCATACACGGCCTCTGACCCTGTTCCTGCCCCTGATGCTGGGCAGCACCCTTGATTCTGACCCACCCTCTCTGTCCTCTCTGGTTCAAACATCCATTCATTACTGTCACTGAACAAAGCAGCCGTTGTCTCAGAGGGCTATGGACCTGGAAGCCCTTCCCAGAGGGTCACGGGGCAGAGTGTAAGGGGCCCTGCCCAAAATGGGAATCTATCTGGTGGCCCCTGGAGTGGGGGAAGGGTAGCCTTTAATCTGTGTGGTTATCCTGACTGCCCGTGGAGGCCTGAGTCCTCTCCTGAGGAGCTCTCAACTCTTCAGCATAAAGTCTTGCTCTCCCCTCAAGACTCTGGCTTCCAGGGCCCAGGAAAGCCTAGGCATTCTGTCTGATTGGATTTGTGCACAGGATGGCAGTCGTTGGTTTTTAAGGCAATTCCTGTTAGGGTCATTTTACTTAGATCCACCGGAGCTTTGCAGTCCAAGGCAGATTGCGTTTTTAACTACAAAGAGTTACCGTGATTGCCCAGGGATGGTTAAGCCCATACGATCTTAGAAGCTTGTTGTAGAGACAAAAGTCTGAATGACAAGCGGCTGGTGATGGTCATGGTGTTGGTGCTGGTTTGAGTGGAGAAAGAAGGGAATTTGAATTTGGACCGTGGGCTTTGAGGTGCTTCTTAGGCATGGAGGAGGGGATTGGGGGGAATGTCATAGAAGTTGCTGAAATTGCAGATGTGGAGTTCAAGGATGTTGGGGAATAGAGATCCTGCCTCTAGAGCCATCTACTTGGAAGGGACAGTTGAAACAGCAGCTGGATCAGTTTTCCAGGAAAGAAAGGAGAAAGAGGAAAAGAAGTGATGGCAGAGTCCTGAGTGTGTGAGCACAAGACCCAGCATAGGAGATGGGGAAGAAATAGAGAGTGGGAGAAAGGGTCAGGGTGAGGGCATCCGCCTGTGCGCACCGGGACAGCGCGGAAGGACTTAGGGGTGATGAGGAGGTAGAAGTTGACACTGTATATCACGTGGCTCTGATGCTGCTGGGAGGGAGGCCGAGTCATCTGGTGGGAGTGGGAAGCGGCTTATCAGTACAGGGTGAAAAATGGGCATACAGGGCCCAGCTGAGGAGAGATGGAAGGATTGTATAACCCTGTTCGCAAGGGCTTCCTTGGCGGCTCAGATGGTAAAGAATCTGCTTGCAGTGCAGGAGAGCCGGGTTCTATCCTTGGGTCGGGAAGATCCCCTGGAGAAGGGAATGACTACCTCACTCCCAGTATCCTTGCCTGGAGAATTCCATGGACAGGCTCCTCAGTCCATGGGATCACAAAGACTTGGATGTGAGTGAGCAGTTTTCGCTTTAACGCTTGAGCACCAGGAGGCAGGCCTGTTAACACAGATTGCCGGGCCCCTCCCCCAGCGGTTCTGGTGCAGCAGATCTGGGCGGGGGCCTGAGAAGGTGCCCTTCTAGTAAGTCCAGGGTGAGGCTGATGCTGCTGGTCTAGGGATGCCACCTGGAGCGCCAGCGTCTGGTCAGTCATTGTGGGAGAACCAAGTTGGGACTTGACCTTCAAAAAATAACAGAATGTCAAGTCTCGAAGGTCCTGGATCTGCTGAGAGGGGCAGATGAGGCCATCGAGCGTGGATCAGGGCCTCAGCCCTGCCTAGTCCTGCCTGGGCCCCTGGGTAATGAGGTTGCTGTTGTGAAGTCAGAGGGTGTGGCCCTGGCGTGGCCCTGTGATTGGGCCCCACTGAAGTCACCCTGGGAGAAACCCGACGGGTCCTTCTCCCGGGGGCCAGATAGAGAAGTCCTGACCTCAGCCATCGCCCAGGCCATGCCCCTGCCCTAATCACCGGCTACTTTGTCACGCAGCCAAAGCAAGCAAGCATGCTGGCGCCTGAAGCGGACAGCTGTTAGATTTTCACGGATGCGAGTGCAGAGCCACCCTCCAGCTTCGGGGCCCCCTGCCCTCCCGAGGCATAGGAGTGGGCCTGGGGACTGGGAGGAAGACTGGGGAGAGGGCAGCAGTCACCGCGAGGTCAGGAAGGAAGACCTTCGGGGAGGCGCAGGTCAAGTCCATCACCCCCTTCACTCCCTGAACTGGTCCCGGCTCCAGCCCGGCAGGCCCCAGGACCACAGAGGGTGACGGCTCTTGGTTCAGTGGAAATGTAGACTTTTCCAAAATGATGAAGAGGGGCTGCATCAAGCCCCCGAATCCCATGAGACTCATGACCCCTCCTGGTAGCTCCTTCTCCTGGGCTGAGCCCTGACTCCCAGGGGTCTTCATAAACTCCTCCCAAGGGTCAGAATTTGGGGAGAGGGGTTTCTGGCCCACAACTAGGACCAGGTGGCCTTGGCTGCTTGACCAGCCAGGGAGCCCAGGCGGCTTGTGGGTTCCTGTGGACACTCTGATGTGAGCAAGTCCAGTAAGATCGTGGTTATTCTTGGTGGTGGAAGCTCCTGCTGCTGCTTTTCTCTGCTCACAGTGATTGGAGGCCAGGAGAGGAATCTGGGGGGGCAAGTATCTTGGCTAGAGTTTCACAGTGGATGGAGGCATTACAAGGGCTTCCCAGGTAGCGCTAGTGGTAAAGAGCCTGCTTGCCAACACAGGAGACTTAAGAGAGAGATGCAGGTTCGATCCTTAGGTCGGGAAGATCTCCTGGAGGAGGGCATGGCAACCCTCTCCAGTATTCTTGCCAGGAGAATCCTATGGACAGAGGAACCTGGCGGGCTACCATCCATGGAGTCTCAAAGAGTCAGACACAACTGAAGCGACTTAGCACGCACACACAGAGATGTTAAAAGGATGGCAGCGTCTCTTCCACGGTTCCTCCTTAACCCTGACTTCCGGGTTGCAGGGCAGGATGAGGGATGACAGGGGCCCCAATGCAAGAAGGGAGGGAAGAGGGATGCAGGAGACAAGAGTAACATGAAGGCTGCGGGAAGTGGGGACCACGAGACACGCCAAGCACCAAGCTCCTCCCTCTCCAGATCCCATCTTCCACCACTGCAACAGACTGGGACCCAGGACGGCCTGGTTCCTAGAGGTGTGTCTGGAGAAAAGCAGCTTCCCAGCCTCTACCCATGGCCTTCCCCAAGCAGGCTTTTCTTCAGGTAATCTGGCTTTTGGGCTAGGAAACGAGAAAGTAACAAATGTGGTTATGATCCAGTAACTTGATCAAACTCCGGACCTCTTCGTGTGTAGCATGATCAGGACCAGGAAGGGTTTGGTGACTGTTACTGAGTTGTTATTTCAGCACCACTTAAGGCCGCCAAGTCATTTCTAAATGTGGCGGGTGCTGCTGTGAAGCTGGGGAGTGGCCCCAAGAGGGGAGAGTTACCATAACAGGCAAGAGGCTCTTCAGCTGTGGGGTCCCAGCCCTGTCTGTGCGTGTGGATAATTTTAGTGGTTTTGCGTCCCCCGCCCCCTCCTCCTTGCAGCTGGGGCTCCTTCCAGCCCTGCATTCCTCGCCATTTTTGCACTTGTCTGAATAATCCTTCTCGAAAGGAGCATCAGTGTCACTGGGTTGACAGGACAGTCAGCTGAGAGGGAGGGCAAACGGCAGTGACGCCGTTAGTGTCAGCTGAGACAGCGTTCCTTCTGAGAGAAACAGGGACTCCCACCCCCACCCCTCCACCCCCCAGTCCATCTGCCTCCTCTCTCCTCCTCTGGGAGTGTCTAAAGAACCTTTGGAGAAGACTCTTGAGAGTCCCTTGGACTGAAAGGAGATCCAGCCAGTCCATCCTAGGGGAGATCAGTCCTGGGTGCTCATTATGACTGATGCTGGAGCTGAAACTCCAGTACTTTGGTCACCTGATGCGAAGAGTTGACTCACTGGAAAAGACCCTGATGCTGGGAGGGATTGGGGGCAGGAGAAGGGGACGACAGAGGATGAGATGGCTGGATGGCATCACCGACTCGATGGACATGAGTCTGAGTAATGTCTGGGAGTTGGTGATGGACAGGGAGGCCTGGCATGCTGCGGTTCATGGGGTCGCAAAGAGTCGGACACGACTGAGTGACTGAACTGACTGAACTGAACTGAACTGAAAGAACCTTCCACACAGAACAGTCAGGTTGTTTCCTGTGGTTCTTAAACAGAGAGAGCGCTTGCTTTGTAGGTGGAAAAGGCCGCCGTTGAACTTAAACCAGTTCCTGGAGGACAGTGGGCCTGTCTCACTGAGAGTCTCAACGGGCCAGGGCGCCCCCTGGGGGAGAAAGGTTAGAAGTGCAGCGGAAAGGGAGAGTTTTATAATGATGCTGCCCATGAGTGCCTGGGGGCCCGGAGGGTGAAAGTCTTGCCAGGCTCAGGAGCATTCCCGCCCCTCAGTAAAGAACCAATCCACCTAAAGTGCCCCCACTGAGAACCCCGAATGCTCGCTGGAGTCCTTTCCATCTCTGACAGTCCCCAGGTCTTGGCTTCCTGATCCATGGGCTGAACCCGAGAGAGCGGTGGTGAGTGGACAGTGGTTTTCTGGCTGGGCTGCCTGTGTTCCATGAAGGCAGCTCCTGCCAATCCGAGTGACCCCGAGAACATTCTTCTGAACTGGGGAAAGAGCCCCTGAGGGCCCATGGGAACGTCTTTATCTTCTCTCCCGGTCAGGCTTCTTTCCTCCCTCTGTCTGGTGCCCTCTCTTCTTTGCTGCTCGGGCCTTTTTCTTCCCTTCGTCGTCCTCTTTGATTTCCCTTCTTTGTCATCCATCTCGAGGGTGGGCCGCGGCTCTGCTGGGCTCTGCTCGCCCGGTGCAGACCCTCACGTGCAGAGTTACTCAGCCCAGTGAGAGCTCTCCTTTCACTGCTGGGCCACAGCCGGATGAAGGAATTCCTGCCTCGTTCCGTCACCAGGCTCGTGAAGGTGCCTCCAGGCAGCGGGGCTGAGCGAGGCCCTAAGTCATTTCTAAGTGAAGTCATAATGAAGGCAGAAGTGGTTCGGGTCCTTGGTCTGATCACATTGAAGCTATTTTGAATGGGCCCCAAGAAGTCATTCTCTTTAGATTCCAAGTGAGAAATCTCCCCGGGCAGGGGTGGGGGGGTGGTTGGAAAGGGGGAAATTCCCTTCACATGGAACATGGAGGAGACACAGGGAGTGAGACCTCGGAAGGTTATGGAGGGAGAATTCAAACCTCACGGACGAAGCGGGGTTTCATCAACTCAGGCGCCCAGAGGAGGCAGTTTCCACCTCAGAGGCCCGCCCTGCCTCATCCCCCGGGGGATTTCGTGTGGTCCAGGGTGCCCGGAGATGCTTGAAGAAACCAAGATAAGTGATGGGCCTTACTGAGAAAGACTGCCTCTGGCAGAGTGAGCCAGGAGCCTCCAGAGCTGACGACTGAAGATAGCCACGCAGGGCTGGGGTTCCTCAAGGGCTCTCTGCCCCAGAAAGGGGAGGTGAGGTCAGAGCCGGGAAGCCACGCCCGGGAATCTCAGTGGCCTCGGTTCCTGGTCTCCGGCCAGAGCCTCCTGCCTGGGGAGGGCTTGAAAGAAAGGCCAGGGGGTTGGAGCTCTCTCCAGAGCCGTGCCCTTCGTGGCTTGGGCCTGTCTGGTCACAAGCAGCCTCAGCTGTCTGCCCGCTCAGCTGCCAGCAGTGGTGTCTGTGGTCCTGGAAAGGGAGGAATGTCAGAAGCTGGGCGGGGGGGGGCTTTGAATGAAGGTGGCAGGTGGGAGGGAGCCCCCCTCCGTGTTCCTCCCCGAGGCGTATCGAGTCTGGCCTGGCCAGACTCCTGCCCAGCTAGACAAGAGAGGAGGGCCTTGGGTCTCCCTGAACTTGTGAATGCTGGGCTGATGCCACCCCTGATTTAATCTCTTCCACCCTCTTAACGTGGAGGAGAAAGTGGCAGCCCACTCCAGTCCTCTTGCCTGGAAAATTGCATGGACAGAGAGAGAAAGCTGGCCAGCTGTAGTCCGTGGGGTCACAGAAGAGCTGGACACGACTGAGCACACAGTGTGTGTGTACACATACGCACGCACCCATAACACCGAGGACTGAAAGGTTTAACGTTGCACTGTCGCAATACATCGCTTTCTGGAATCCAGAGACCACGGAGAGTCCAGCTAACTGGTCCTTGTGAGTGTGCAGTGTGTGAGGGTGTCACCTGTGAACACGGGCGTGTGCGCGCGTGTGAGGGGTTGTGACCTCAGGGGAGGCAGGAGCAAAAAGCCTGAGCAGCCTGCCTGGTGGCCTGTGCGTCCCTGTCAGGCAGCCGGCCCTGAACTGGGCTTAGCTGGGCCGCGTCCCTGAAGTATCTCACACTCGCCCGGGAGAAGGAAGGGGGACATTTCCATTAGAAGAAGGGGAATGGCTTTTTGCTTCACTGACCGGCCGTTTGTCGTGGTGACCCCACGATCTGCAAGGTGCTTGGCACCAAGTCTAAGTGTGTGGATTTCTCAGTGTCCGGCTCTGCCACCCCATGGACTGTAGCCTGCCAGGCTCCTCTGTCTGTGGGATTCTCCAGGCAAGAATACGGAGCGGAATGGGTTGCGATTCCCTGCTTCAGGGATCTTCCTGACCCAGGGATCGAACCTGGGTCTCCTGCATTGCAGGCAGATTCTTTACCATCTGAGCCGCCAGGGAAGCCCAGGGGTGGCTTAGTAAATTCTTGTCAATGAGGAAGTGGTACCCAAGTTCCAGGAGCCCTGCTGGCCGACTGCCCTTCAGGCCCTCTGACCCATCCTGCCCAGTGACGGCTTGAGGAGAGGAGACACCCCAGACACAGCCCTTGTCTCAGGGACAGGGAGGGACCTGGGTGGTTTAGGCGGGACCTTCTAGGCTTTTCCTCCACTTACGGCCTCTCTCCTGAAGCCCAGTCTCACACAGACACACCAGCTCGTTCAGCCCCAGGTTGGGCTGTTGCCCCGCTCACATCCCCAACATGCTCCATCACTTTGTGATTCCGAGGCTGCTTGTGGCTTCCCTGATGCCGCCGTCCAGTCTAGCCAAGCTCTTTTTGGCCCTGAGGCTGCCCCAGGTGGGGCACATAGGAGATGGTTCACTGTCCCCAAACCATCTAGATGCAGCTAGCCCATACTAGGGTATGTGGTGAATACCAGTGGCACGTCCCACAAAATGCTTTCTCTATGGAACCGGAGAGGAGGTCCTCTCCCGACCCCCTCCCAGTTTACAGAGCTCCACTGCGCTGGCTCCCGGTATGCAGGCCTGAGGGTGGACCTGGGACCAGGCCATCAGGCAGTCAGCCTGGTTCACGCTTAGATACATTGACATTGACATGAGGCTGGGACAGTCCATTTCTGCGCAGAGAGAAGTGCCCCCTCCTTCCTTCCACAAAGTGCACCCAAGGAAACCTGAAGCCCCTACCCTGCGTCCCCTAAAATAGAAGGCGTCCGAGAGCCTTTCAGAGGGAAACGCCTCCTTGTTTGGACTAGGGGAGGATTTAGAGAAATACATTGTTCTAAAATAATAACTCTGGATCTGATGTGCAAGGTTCTGGGCAAGTGCAGACCCAGCTGAATCATCATCCTGGGGCTTGTGTTTCTTAAAAATAACCCCCCTTGCAATATTCTAATTATAGCCGGGGGAGCACTCGGAAGGGCCTCTCCACAATAGCTCCCCCAGCCCTGGCCCTGAGACGAGCTGGCGAGGACTGAGCCGTTGTTTCTGGCTGGGCTCCCAGGCGGGTGGCATGCTGCGATAACCCACTTCTGCCCTTCGCCAGGCCAGGAAATGCAGCCAGTGCTGCCATGAGAGAGAAGGGTTTCACCTTGCAGACAGTTCGCCAGGAATCTCAGTTTAACTCATTTTCTTCCAGTGTTGTTGTTCAGTCAGTCATGTCCGACTCTTTGGGACTCCATGGACTGCAGCACGCCAGGCTTCCCTGTCCTTCACTGTTTCCCAGAGCTTGCTCAAACTCATGTCCATTGAGCGGATGATGCCGTCCATCCATCGCATCCTCTGTCGTCCCCTTCTTCTCCTGCCTTTAGTCTTTCCCAGCATCAGGGTCTTTTCCAATGAATCAGTTCTTTGCATCAGGTGGCCAAAGTATTGGAGCTTCAGTTTCAGCATCCAGTCCTTCCAATGAATATTCAGGGTTGATTTCCTTTAGGATGGATGGGTTTGATCTCCTTGGAATCCAAGGGACTTTCAAGAGTCTTCTCCAGCACCACAGTTCTGCCAGTGTTAGCCTTTTTTCCTCCTCCCCTGTGTTCTGGGCTGTTGTGGGAGGCAGGAGGGTGGGGAGACAGAGGAAGGAGACGACTTAGTCCCTTTCCGTTGGAAGGCCCCATGCTGTCTGTTGTTGCAGAACCAAATTCAGCTGTACAAGTAGGCAGGTTCCCCAAGTGACCTTCAGAGATAAAGCCTCTCCTATATACAGAAAAAAAAAATCTTCCAGTTAATTCTTAGAATGTTTGTTCATGATGGCTTGAATTCTGGCTTAGGACTTTGTTAAAATGAAAATATCCCATCACAAACCTATCACAATGAAATCCTGTCAGCCGTTTAGTAGGAACTAGACCGGCTTCCCTGGTGGCTCAGCACTGAAAAATCTTCCTGCAATGTAGGAGATGAGAGTTCGATCCCTGGGTCAGGAAGATCCCCTGGAGAAGGAAATAGCAACCCACTCCAGTGTTCTTGCCTGGGAAATCCCTGGGACAGAGGAGCCCGGCAGACTACAGTCCATGGGGTCGTGACTTAGCGATTAAAAACAGCAGAGGAACTAGACCAGAGTTTATTGAGAGGTACAGAAGATTCAACAGTGGGGATTTGCAGATGAATTTACTTGATGCATGCTCTAAAGTTGTTTGCAGACTCTGAGGCAGACTCAAGAATTATGAACCTTTGGGATTCTTTAACCTAGTGGACCCCAACCTTTTTGGCAATTTTCATGGAAGACAGTTTTTCCGTGGACCAGCATGAGGTGGGGATGGTTCAGGCAGTAATGCTAGTGGCGGGGAGCAGCCGCTGGCTCCCTGCTGTGTGGCCTGGTGCCTAACAGGAGTTGGGGACCCACTCCAACGATGTACAGAAGGAGATGGTGGAGCATGTGGAGCAAGGAGCGGTGCATTGTGGGGAGATTTCGTGAGAAAATCCTTCACGGGGAAGTGGCATCTGGGTTGGTCCTTGAAGGGATGAGAAGAGATGCGGGAGGCAATCCAGAAGCTAAGATGCAGAGACAGGAGTGGCCTGACGTCTTCCTCAGATGCTTGGGAGGATGCTCTGTGTGGGGAGCAGGAGACCGAGGGTCAAGGTCATCGCATCTTGATCAAGGTCATCCACTTTTGATTCTGGAGGAAAATTTTCAACAGTGGGGATTTGCAGATGAATTTACTTGATGCATGCTCTAAAGTTGTTTGCAGACTCTGAGGCAGACTCAAGAATTATGAACCTTTGGGATTCTTTAACCTAGTGGACCCCAACCTTTTTGGCAATTTTCATGGAAGACAGTTTTTCCGTGGACCAGCATGAGGTGGGGATGGTTCAGGCAGTAATGCTAGTGGCGGGGAGCAGCCGCTGGCTCCCTGCTGTGTGGCCTGGTGCCTAACAGGAGTTGGGGACCCACTCCAACGATGTACAGAAGGAGATGGTGGAGCATGTGGAGCAAGGAGCAGTGCATTGTGGGGAGATTTCATCAGAAAATCCTTCACGGGGAAGTGGCATCTGGGTTGGTCCTTGAAGGGATGAGAAGAGATGCGGGAGGCAATCCAGAAGCTAAGATGCAGAGACAGGAGTGGCCTGACGTCTTCCTCAGATGCTTGGGAGGATGCTCTGTGTGGGGAGCAGGAGACCGAGGGTCAAGGTCATCGCATCTTGATCAAGGTCATCCACTTTTGATTCTGGAGGAAAATTGTGGTTTCCACCTCTTGCTAACCACATGACTTTGAGCACGTTTCCAAACTTTCAGGGCCTCTCTTTCTTCCTCTGTCAAATGGATGGTAACAGTATCAGCTCCGGAAGGCCGTGGTGGGAATGAATTGACCCGTGTAAACCCCTTAGAACAATGCTTGGTACAGAGTCAAGCATTTAATAAATAAAAGCTATTTATAGTGGTGGTTTCTCAGCAACTGGGGGCTTGGGGAACTGGCGGAAGTGCTAAGGAAAGGTTTAGAAAAAGGAGGCCAAAGGGCCCCAAGGCAAAGTGCATCTGTTTTCAAGGATGCTGAGAGCAGAACGTGGTAAAGATAAAGGGAGAAGTTTCAGGAACATAGAAACTTGAATAAAAGGTGAAAATGCTCTTCCTTGCGGCTGAGAGGCTTCAAGAGGAAGCCAGGAGAGTGGCCAAGAAGTGGCTTCAGAGCAGGTGGCGTCCGAGTGGCTCATGCTTGTGGCCCGTCGCTGCAGGGACCCCAGGGAAGCCCTTGTTACAGGGTCAGGGGGAGGGGTTTGTTCATTCCTTGACCTTCCCTGTCGCCTGTCCTGCCGCGGACTTTCCAGCAGGTGCTGTTGGTCACAGAAATGAGGGAGAGAAAATAGGCGAGTGTGGGTTTATCCCAGCCCCTGAGAAACATTAGGAAGCTAGGGTCTTACTAGCTTTCGTCTCACATATGAAGGGCAGCACCTTTCGAGTTTCAGGAGGCGGGGAGGTGTTACTTGGTATTGAGGAAAATGCCAAACAGGAAGAAAGCTTGTGCAAGAAAGGCTCGGAAAAGTGAGGCGAGCTGATTGATAAATGCTGCGAGGACCGTGGAGCAAGGGGTTCTCTTGTTAAAGCACGAGGAACTGCTTAACCTTTGGAGGCAGTGGGAGATCTCAGGGCCGCCCTGGGTCAGGGCCCACGTAGTGTGCGAGATCCCAGGGGAGAAGACGGACTCAGAGATGGTTTTCTGGACTTCATTTTAGATGTGGCTGCTTCTCTGAAAGGATTCTGGAGCACTTGCTCGAACTTGTTCTTACTCCACATACTAATAACTCAACACCGTTACTAGTATCATGTTGAATTAGCTGCTAACTAGTGAGTTAATAGCTTCCCTGATGACTCAGATGGTAGAGAATCTGCCTGCAATGCAGGAGACCCAGGTTCGATCCCTGAGTTGAGAAGATCCTCTGGAGCAGGGAATGGCTACCCACTCATTTTAAAAATGGGAAAACAAAAACTGTGAGATAAATCCTGAGAATGCTTAGGCATGATCTTATGTCGGGAAGTCTCCTAGGAAGTAGTTTTAATGGAGACAGATGACGAGCTGCTGAGGACTTCTCTCCCCAGCTTGAAGTACTTTCTTGTGTGACTCCCGTGAATGCTTGAGTGTAGTGTCACATTGCAAAGTACATGAGAAAATGTATTACATTTAGGGAAGAGAGGCAATTTGCCTTGGAATGATTTTCCACATGGACATGCTTTTTCAGATGAATTCTGAAAGATTCATCCCGAGTTATACCTTCAAGCCTGAAATAGAGACGGAGAATGTCTAGGAGAACCTGAGTCACCCCAGACATCTGGGAGGCGCTGGGCTTCCCCAGGGCACTGAGGACGCCAAGGTTTCTAGGAGCATTTGGTTCAGGTGCTTAGTTCTGTTGTAGTCGAACTTTAGGCCCTTGCAGGGATTACAGATACATATCAGAGGTTACAGTGTGACCAAATTCAGGCTTGAAGTTAAACAAACTCATTCAGCAACCTGTACCTTTCGTTTTGAACTCTACATTGAAAACCTGTTCAAAGGCCCCTTAAAACCTATAAAGGCGGACTTCAGAACAAGAAGTAGAGTTGGGAGCCAAGGCCGGTGGGTGGTGGGGGGCGCAGTGGGGTGTGCTGTGGAAATACCCAAAAGGGTCGAGGGCCCTAACAACGCTAAATGATCTTTCTGTATCCCCTCCCCTCTCCCCCCACCATCTTTCACCCGCAGGCCTGCGCTGCCTGAAAAGAAGGTGGCTGACGTCAGCACTCTGAACGAAGTGGGCTATCAGATCCGGATTTAGGCCGGCCCTACCGCAGCAGCAGGGCTTCTATGGTGCTTTTCTCTGCCTTTACCCAGCATCTTCAGGAGGAACTGCAGCTATTTATTGAGAACTGGTGAATTTTATTCCTGTGGATTCACTTGGAAGTAGACTCTTGAGTGGCTGGTAACAAAAAAAAAAATTCATGAAGGGACAACCATGAAAAGGCTGTGATAGACCCCGCTGGGGTTGGACTGTCCCCCTCACTCCAGATAGAAAGGGTAAGACCATAACTGTAGTTTTTTATATTTTCCCATTTACCTACTTTCTTTTACTTGCTTTGAACATTATGCCTCACTAGTAGTCCATGTTCATGAAGCCCTCCCCCCTCCCACTTTTGATACAGTAAGGTAACTCAATCAGTATTAATGTCTTTTTCAGCAATAACAGAGGCAAAGATTGGTGGGGTTTTTTTAGGCAGTCAATATTACCTCAGCATCTTGACATCAGATATGCAAACATAATGGTGGGTTTTTTTTTTTTTTTTAATTCTATTTGTATTGTTTCCCCAGTATTTCCCATGGGGATCTCCACGAGGTTTGGAATTTTTTTCCTGGTGCACACGTGATGAGATTTTAGGTATTATATGCAAGTGTTTTACTTAAAGAGCACTGAAATTCTTCTGGCAATACGGGAAATCATTTTCAGGATCTTGGAGTTACTACTTTCTTAATCTTTCTTACAGCATTCACTGACAGCAGCTTTTGTTCTTTCAAAACAAAAAAGCACGTCCAGAAGCTAGTCTGTGTTCTGTCACTGACATTTAAACTTTGCAGACTCCAGTGAAAAGCACATGAGGTCTTGTACTGTTACACAGATTTAGCAGTATTGCGATTACCTCTGACAATACCACACTCAGAGACCAAGAGAGAATCAGTAGGTCCTGAGAACTAGGTAACCTTTCTGTTCACATTTCACCTGAGTTTTAAACTGAGTCAGGCCTTGGTTCTGCAGGACTCACTGTTGTTAGGTATGTGTTCTGATGTCTTATATTAAGACCAAATATGGCATGATGTGATTATTTCCCAGTACCATTTTTAGGTACCACTTCATGATATTTAGGAACTGGTATTGGAAAATGCAGTGAATTGCAGAAGCAGAATCTTCGTTTTTTTAAATGGAAGACTTCGGGTACAGTGTTACGCCTTGGATGTTCTCCTGATGTTCTCCATTGGCATGAGTATCTGGCCTGCATATGGCAGTTACAGTGTAACGTCTGCTGCAGGTCACACAGAGTAAGTCACAGACCAAGTCTGTATTATCAAGAGTACAGCTTCTACTTCACTTGTTTGATCTTAGCAACCATGCCAACTCAGGAGACCGAAAAGCATATTTAAATGAAGTCTGCTAGTCAACAAAAATGTTATTTCAGTCTTGGGGCCTCCCCCTCTGGCTTTCTTTACCTAAAGGTGGATTTTGGGAGGGGAGTAAAAAAATCTGCTCATTCAGATTCTTTACCCCTGAGGGCACCATGGGAAGGAAAAAGACTATCCTTCAGCCCTGTGCAACTGAGCTCACTATACCCTAAGAATCAGTGTTATTAATGGAAAGTACTTTCCTTGAAAAAAAAAAGTCGAATGTCCTTTACATGAAAAAGGACCAAGTAAGTCCAATCTACATCTCAGTTAGATTAAACCAGGTAAACACATTCAGGACTTAACCACTTTTAAGAACAGTACTATCAGTAGAATTGAAAATGAGTTATTTTTATCTTCTCCGAGACACACCATTTGCAGCCTCCTGGCCACATGTATTTAGAGGTTTGGAGTAGTCCGTGAATCATTTCATTTTCATTCTAAAATACGGACTTAACTCTCTCTAGATGAACTATAATCATGTTTATCAATCTGAAAGTTTATTATATCCAGTAAGTAGACTACTTATAATACTTCAGTCATTCTAAGGGCTTGGAATAGGATTTTCCAAGTATTAAGTACAGTCCAGTCTAAAACATGGAATGTCAACATTTGCATATCCTTGTCTCCCACAGAAGGGGGAAGGAATTAGGAATACAACCTTTTTCTAATATGCTGATATCTAAGCCTTAAAACTGCCAACTGGCTTCAAGATTCAATCAGTAACCTGATTTCTTCCACACCAACTGCTTGATTTTAAGATTTATTTCCCCAAAGCAAGAGTTAGTCACAGAAACATGAAAATAAGTTAAAATGTTCTTAGTTGTTACTCTATTTTTATTGCCTATGGAAAAGTTAATTTCTAAAGGACACAAGAAAAGTATCAAACTTACATTCTAGTGAATTGGTAATACGGTAAGGGAAAAAAAAATGACTTATCTTTTACCCCACAGAATTGATTTTAAATCTGGTTATAATTCAAAAGATAAAATCCATGAAATGATTTGAAATCTAGTTTTTAAAAAAAAGTTAATGCAAGAGAACTTTTATGCTTAAGCCATTGTGATAATACTTGCAAAGTTTAAATGAATGACAGGAATCTTGATTCTAGACTACATGTTGTGCTGTTTTGAGTACTTTTATTTCAGAAAGTAATATTTAGTATTTTCTATACACTCTGAAATCATGAGCATTTCACTTTTTCTAAGTCAATTATTTCATAAGGATTTTATTAATAGATATTGGTAAATAGAACTTTGGAGATCTTAATTACGTATTCTTACTATACCCGAGGCTTTTGTAAGCTCTAGTTTTATGTACAACCTTGTACAGTTTTTTTGACATACAATTCAGAATCTTGTTTATTCTCTTGGACTTTGTTCTGGCCAATACATTTTTTTTAGATCTCTTAAGAAAAACTGTGATTGTTTTAGTGGGTATTTTTCTAAGTAAATGAAAACTTGTATAATGGTATTTTAGAGAATGCCAGATAAGTGCATGTTTCAATTTAATGTTTTTCTCATCACTTGTATGTTTATACACAGCATGGGACTTTCAATAAAATCATCCTGGAAACTCAAGGATTGTTTTCCTTCTAAAAATATAAATGGTGTGATTTTTTTTATTCCTCTTATTATATACTTGTTCTAGTAAATTAATTATCACTCTCACCCTTGTCGTCTTCCACAGTTTTCAGATTCTGTATTAAATTTATCACTCTATTTTGGTGTATCTTAATTCACTTATTGGCTTCCTTATATTTTGGCATCACCCAAGGCAACAAGTGAATTACACAGCTTATTTCATCTACCACAAAACCTTCAGGCACAAATGTACTAGTACAATAATTTATTAGGTAACTTACATGGACAAAGTGCAAATGACTTGACAAAGTGAATGTTTTTCCAACCCTTTGAACTCTGGATCTCTAACTTAGTGTTTTTAGGAAAGCAAAGGGTTAAGAGCAGACAAGTCGCTAAATTCCAGAAAAGACAATTTCAAACACACCTACCGATATCAAAAGCTATAGTAAAACCAAAATTTCATTACTGCAATTCTGCAATATATCCCTTTCCATTTAAAACCTGGATAGCATAGCAGGTGAGATGGGGAGATTTGGTTTCAGCAATTAACCAAATTTAATTGCTTTTGGCAGGTAAATACAAGGCTCCAACAGTTATTAACTCTTCTGATCAAACAAAGTGAAGACACGTGGACAGTTAATTTTAGTGGAGCTTTAAAAGCCTGTGAGAAAGTTACAAAGGATTCCTTGGCCTACAGTACACATAATACTACTTCATTCTATAAGCTAAAGTTGAAAGCAATTTTATGGGATTAACTCAAAGTGAAGTACGTGAAAAGGGCCTAAAATCACAATATATTAATCAGGATACAAAAAATTAAGTTTTCAGGGATGTTCGTTTATCAAGAATACCTATATATAAAGTTAGTTGTTAACAAACTCATACAACACAACATAGTTATCCACGAATCTTCATTTTTCTTTCCCTAATACTAAAAGGGATAAAAATACTATCTGCTGTTATCATTTGCTGATGACAATATCTGCTAATCAGAACATGTAATACTTTGAAAACTGTTACTACAAAATGTGGAAAATCCTAGAACTATACGGTTAATACTGTTAAGTTAAAAAAAAAAAGTGATACAATAAACAAGTATTTCTATAACACTATAACTTTTACTAGGCAAATCCTTATAACCCACATACTTTTGGGGGGTATTTATCTGGTTTATTTATTTTTTAATAATTGTTGTAAATACTTCAGTAGAAAAAGTCCGAGCCTATAAAGTAACTACTGCTGCTAATTTAAAATGAAGCATTCTATTCAGAAAACCCACTGTAAAAAACTTTTATAATTCAGAATTCAATATAAAATTACTTAGTAAAAATGTACATAGTTCTGTGATCCCAGTTCTAGAAAAGAGTAAATTTTCACTTAGGTTTTAAAATGTTTGATTCAAACACTCATTAAGAGCCAACTGCAGGATTTTTCAGACCCACTCTTAACCATTTTATAAAAAAGACCAGCACCATCTCACACTGCTGAATCATGATAAAAAGAGACAGAAACCCAAAATATTATAGAAATGACAACAGTTGAACCACAACAAAACAGTTAATATCAACTATTAAAGAGTCTTAGGTCTCCAAGTTAATATCTCCCCCTCTAGAGTTCTGCTGGCTTCCTCTTATTTCTGAGGCAAATAAAAAGAATCTTATAGCTGCCACTTTGTTCCAAATACAAGTTTCCTAATAAATTTATACAGGATTGGTTCAGTAAAGTAAAATCTTTCCTTCAATCCAGAATCTTTTCTCGAAACTAAATTAAAAAAAAAAAAATTACTAGGGAAACCCAAGGCATGACCCCAGAATGACTCTCTTAGGCATCCTATACAGTCCACTATAGGATGGAGAGTGGCCTTGTCCAAAACACTTCATCCTACTAGTTATGGTGACCTACATTTTACCAATAAAATGCAGGCACATTACATGGCTCAGGATGGTAATAAAATGGATTAAACAATTTGTACAGTTCTAAAAAGTACTATCAAGCCCCATCAAAGACAAACTAAAATGGTTAGATACTTGTGAACAACCCAATGATTTCTGAGATGAATGAGTTAGGACTCAACAGACATGATCCTTGTGATGAAATCAGGCCTTCTGCAAGGGAATGAGTTGTGGTTTGCCAAGAACTCAAAGATATTTTGGATCCACTTTAAAGCTTGCTAAAAACACGAAATTCTTTCCTAAGAGATTAAAGAAGTTGCACCATATTTAAAAATCACTGTCAATTTTACTGGGATTTAGAATAAATATTTACAACTTTTTTTGCAATCAACAGCATTTAGATCTCACTTGTCAGGAAAATATTTTTTCATTATTAAAAAAAAAAGTGTAAACTTGTTTCTTCTGTTACCTGTTTCAAACATTTAACATAAACCTCCAGAAATTTCATAGCATAAAAATAAATAAACATGCAAACTCTTAAGAACTCTTTGGGGGAAAAAAAAACCAAACGGGAACGCAAAGTATATATGTAATCAAAAGTCAGAGCTCAAGTCTGAATTTAGCCAATAAAGGCAGATGATCCGAAGAGTTATTTTCATTTGGAAGTCCGTTAACAGTCCATAAGTCTTCTTCTGTAAGAAGTGACAGTCTGGCTAGAAGTTTCAAGCCACCAACCAAAGTAACTTCAGCTCCTACATTAAAAAAGCACATGCACATTTAGTGAAACAACAGGTTGTAAACTGACCACAGAAGTCTTTAAAAGAAAAAAATGATATGTAACTTGACACTGCCCTGGAAGTCTAACATGAAACAGTTTAAAATAAAATATGGTTAGTTTTTTATTGAGTTATAACCTAATTATAACTCTCAAACAGCAGTCTCAGATGTTTGTTTTCCTATTTCAAATTTTTTTTTTCAATTTCAAATCATCTTTAGAAGAAAATATCAATGTAACATGTAAGAATGTTAAGAGTAATTTGAGATTGACAACTACCTAAGAAATTCACCCATCAACTTTTCTGTAATTGTATAAAACTGAAAGACTAAACCACATCTAAGTAGAACATTTATTAAGTGACTGCAAAATAAATTAGTATAATTTGGTCCCAGAGACTCAGTACCCACAGAAGTGGAATAAAAGAAGACAGGCTCTTAATGTTAACATTGGAGATGCTGGTCCATGGCACACTCCCGCCGTCTAGTGGATATATATAGTATGACAACTACCAGAACTAACCTACAAATTCAAAGCAGCAAGGTTATTTTGTAGAATTGATCTAGGGGAGAGGAGTTGGCCATCTCCTGAGTGTTACTAGTAAGGTTACTTTTGGAGAGAAAGAAAAAAACAGAAGGGAAAATTGGGAAAGAAAAGTAGCACTGAAAAAAAAGGAAAAGGAAGAGTAAATAGAGGAAAATCAGAAAAGACAAAATAGCTGCCCACATTTAGGATTTTCAGTTTTCTGAATACTTCTCTGACTCCCAGTTCCCTGCTGTAAAGAATCTGTAAAGAATCTGCCTGCAACAGATCACCAGCCCAGGTTGGGTGCATGAGACAAGTGCTCGGGCCTGGTGCACTGGGAAGACCCAGAGGGATCGGGTGGAGAGGGAGGTGGGAGGGGGGACCGGGATGGGGAATACATGTAAATCCATGGCTAATTCATTTCAATGTATGACAAAAACCACTGCAATGATGTAAAGTAATTAGCCTCCAACTAATAAAAATAAATGGAAAAAAAAAAAAAAAGAATCTGCCTGCAATGCAGGAGACCCGGGTTCAATCCCTTGGTTAGGAAGATGCCCTGGAAAAGGGAACAACAACCCACTCCAGTATTCTTGCCTGCAGAATCCCATGGACAGAAGAGCCTGATGGACTAGTTCATGGGGTTGTAAAAAGTCAGACACGACTAAGCAACTCATCACTTTCACTACTTTAAACCTCTCTTCTCCATGTTAAATCCTTTAACCAATATTAATACCTTGTTTTCAATGAATCATACACAGAAAAGTGTTTTATCACCTTTGCTTTTTGAAAACACACTTTTCAGACTTCTCTTTCCAGAAAGAACCAATATTCCGGGGTCAACATGACAAAACTGTCAGCTTTGGTAGTACAAGCAAGGCCCTACAATGAAGGCAGCATACCTTAGTAAAATTTAAGTACAAAACTGTATGATACTGCTGTCGCAAGAAAAACAATGAACTTGTGGTGAGTAAAAACCAAAAGGCAATATAAAAGATCTAAAAAGCAACTCAGAAGGTGACTGGGATTGGAGGCTAGAGCTGAGAATGTAATTCACGGGGAATAATTTGCTTTGAGGTATTTCACTGCCTCCATCTTTTGCAGGTGATAAACTGATTTACTCAGATACATTACCAATCTGCCAAATACATTACCAATTTTAAAATATTTTTAATTTCTAAATCGAGAACTTTATCCAGATGTTTGGCTTTCTCAGCTTCAGCCCTGAAGTTTTTAGTTACTGTGTTCTCAAGCAGAATTTAAGATTACACGCATTCTTTACCTGGCTGCTCTGCAACACCTTCCTTTTCAGCAGAATAGAAAATATAATCCACAGTTATGGCACTTCGGGAATGACAGGTGGTCACTTCTGGGATTCCAGTGTCAGGCAAATAATGTGAATAAACAGATGACAAGCTGAAATGGTGCTGTAAATTTGAAGATAACCTAAATTGAAGGAAAAAAAAAAGCACCCATCAAGTTTTTCATGATTTTTATAATTCCTCCTCCTTAAAGCACTTTTTCACTTAAATTTCCAGACAAAACCAGACATTAGGACAATATTTATTTAAACAAACCATAGCACAATTTCACATTTCTTTATCCATGCAGTGATATCCAAAATCCATTAATAGGGCTATACTACTTGGGGTGGGGTGGGGGAGCTCAATAATTAACATACCAATGTGATTATTAATTATAACACATTTGAAAGCCTCCACTTACTAATGAACACATATTCCAAAATAATTTGTAAGTTTGCTGCTTCTAAAAGAGAAAATTAAAGTGGCCTTTAGGAATACTATTTAGAACTGACAGACTTTTGATG